AGGTCTTTTTGAAGAGTTTTGTGGTTTTCATTTTCATCTAATGAAGTGAACTCCAGTAGGATTCAGAGAAGACTCCAAAAATTAAAAAAATATATATATTAGAGACCTACCTGCAGATTGCTCTTCTCTGGCAATTATGATGGCAGTCCGGGCAGCCTCTTGGTACTGTTTCAGAGCCATGTACAAGCGGAACAGGTACTTGGCATCCTGTCATACAAACCATTAGACAAACATTGCTTATTTCATTAGCTAAGGAGGGAATCACCTATACTTTTGCATTTCAGTTTGAATCACATTAATGTGTCAGTAACAGAATTGATAGTTTTTTAAAACTTGATAAAAGAACGAGCTCATCAAACATTTATTCAGCGGTTAATATGTGCCAGGTAGTATTCTAAGTACTTAAATGTTAACTCAGTTAAATCCCTAAGAGGGCTGAGAAACTGCAACACAACAGGACAGGGGCAGAGTCAGGATTTGGGCCTCAGTGATCAGGGTTCAGAGTCTGTCCCTGCCCCTAATCCACAGGGCATCGCTCACATGCTTGGAAGCAAAACATGTTCTTATACAATGTACTAACTTTGCAACATCTCAGCACATATACATTTTCTTTATTCTATAAAATTTTCTTTGGCCTTTGACCATTTTCTATTCCTTTTTTTTTTTTTTTTCTTGGTACCAGGGATTGAACTCTGGTCCTTGCACTTGTGAGGCAGGTGGCGGAACCACTGAGATAAATCCCCAGCCCATTTTCTATTCCATTTTTAGATGAGATTCAATTTACTTTTATTGGGAGACATCTCAAATCAGTAGAAAGAGCTTCAGAGTTGATATTAACAGAAATTATTAAAAAATTATTCTTAGGTTACTGTTATGATTTGGGTCTAGATGCCCCCTCCCCCCCAAAGCCTCATGGGGTCATAGGTGGGGCTTTTTCAGAGGTGGCTGAATCTAGTGTGTTTGATTCTTGGTGCAATGCTAGGCCCCAGGGCACTAAGATTAAGGGTGTGAGTGCTACCTACCTTAAGTAGTCTGAACAAGATAAAAGGGGCAGCTCTCTTGTTGCTTTTGCTACCTACAGGCTGCCATGAACTGTTTCTCCTCTCCAAGCTCTGTCTGCCACTCCACCTTGCCTTGGAGCCATTAGATTATGGACTGAAACCTCTACAAACTGTGAGCTAAATAAAGCTTTCTTCCTTTAATTTTGAGTGTCAGGTATTTTGTCTCAGCAATGAGAGAAAAGTAACTAAGACAGTTACAAATAAAATGTCACATAAGAAAGGTAAAATGCTACCCAAGGAAAAAAAAAGGCATCCTGCATGTTTTCATGGTAATAGGTGTGTATTCTCAAATTTTGTCTGGCTAATTACTCAACCCTTATTAAGTGGATTCATTCAGTCTCTCAAGAGAATGGTGTAACAGTCAAGATTCCAGAAATTCAACACAAAAACAGAATATTAAAAGCTGCTAGAGACAAGAAACAGATCACCTACATATTTTTTTCAGATCACCTATAAAAGAAAACCCATCAGAATCACAGCAGAGTTCTCAACACAAGTATTTCAAGCCATTAAAAAAACCCAAACTTCCAACTCAGATTGATGTACCCTCAAATTACCTTGCAAAATTGATGGAGAAATAAGATACTTCCCTGATAAAGAACATCTGAAGAAATTCATGACCACCAAACTAACAACCAAACCAACCAAAAAGTTCTGAAGGACATTCTAAATGAAGACAACAATTCCAAGAATCCCAACAGAATGAATCCACCAGGCAAGGCAAACAATTAAATGAAGGGAAAGAAAGGGGGGAAACAACAGGAAAAGAATATGACAAGGATAAGTCAGTACACATCAGTTATAACCATCAGTGTGAATGGTCTCAGTTCACTAATCAAAAGAAACAGATTGGCAGAAAGATCAAGAAGCAAGATCCAACAATATGCTGCATACAAGAAACATATTTAACTAAAAAAAAAAAAATCCGTCGATTTAAAGTCAAAGGATGGAAAACAATATTCCATGCAACAGGAACCTGGAAAAAAGCAGGGGTAGCTATTCTATTTGTAGACAAAGTGGATTTCAAGTCAAGACTGATCAGAAGAGACTAAGAAGGCCACTACATATACTACATACTTGTTAAGGGAACAATCCAAGAGGAAGAGATAACAATCATAAATAAATATGCACCAAATACTGGCACACCCAGCTACATAAAACAAACACTAATGGATATGAAAAATCAGATATGGGCCAAGGATTTAGCTCAGTGGTTTCAACGCCTGCTGTGCAAGCACAAGGACCTGAGTTCGATCCCCAGTACCCCCCCCAAAATCAGATAAACATTAATACAATTGTAATGGGGGACCTCCGTACTCCACTATCACAAATAGAGCGATTAGACAAAAAGTCAACAACAAAAAAAGCAGAACTAAACCAAACCTTTGAACAAATGGACTTGGTAGATATCTATGGAGTGTTCTACCCCACAACAGAATACATATTCTACTCAGCAGCACATGGGACTTTCTCTAAAATAGACCACATACTAGCTCATAGAACTTGCTTAAGTTTTTTTTTTTTTTTGGTACCAGGGATAAAACTCGGGACCTTGCACTTGGGAGGCAGGCAGCAGAACCACTGAGCTAAATCCCCAGCCCAAGGCAAAGGAATTGAAATCATCCCATGCATATTATCAGATCATAGCGCAATGAAATTGAAAATCAATGGCAAAAGAAACCACAAAAATTACATAAACACCTGGAAATTAAATAGTACCCTCCTGAACAACTAATAGGTCACAGATGAAATTAAAGACAAAATTAGTTTCTACAGTTAAAGGATAATGCCAATATGACATATCAGAACTTATGGGATGTGATGAAAGCAGTCCTATGAGGGAAATTTGAAATGGTGAATTCCCACATTAGGAAAACAGAGCAAGTTTAAATAAATAACCTAATGTTGAACCTCAAGGTTCTGGAAAAACAAGAGCAAGTTAAACCCAAAGCTTGTGGGAGGAAAGAAATTACAAAGATCAGAAGAAAAATTAATGCAATTTGGGCCAGGGATTTAGCTCAGTGGTTTTGCTGCCTGCTGTGCAAGCACAAGGACCCGAGTTCCATCCCCAGTACAAAAACAAAAAAAAAAAGAAAAGATCCAAATCCATGCAATTAGGAGTGAAAGCAATTAGGGTGAAATCACAATGGATTCAGCCGAAATCCAGATCAATACCTACTTGGAGAACCTGTACTCTAATAAGATAGAATTGGATTCCTAGGTACATATGAATTACCAAAGCTGAATCAAGAAGATATAAATAAAGGCCAGGGATTTAGCTCAGTGGCACCTCGCCTGCCTTGCAAGCACAAGGTCCTGAGTTCAGTCCCCGATAACGGAAAAAAAAAAGAAGATATAAATATTCTAAATAATCCAATATCAGCCAATGAAATTGAAAAAGTAATTAAAAAAAAATCCTACCCACAAAGAAAAGCTCAGGTCCAGACGGATTCACTGCTGAATTCTACAAGAACTTTAAAGAAGATCTAATCCCACTACTCAAACTCTTTAATGAATTGAAATGGAAGCAACACTCCCAAAGTCATTCCTGGAAGCAAGGATTACCCTGATATCAAAAGCAGAGAAGGATCCAACCAAAAAAGAGAACTATAGGCCAATCTCCTTAATGAGCATAGATGCAAAAATCCTCAATAAGATACTGGCAAACAGAATGCAGCAAATCTTCAAAAAGATAATACACCATGCGCAAGCAGGATTCATCACAGGGATACAGGGATGGTTTAATATATGCAAATCAATAAATGTAATACACCATAAAACAGAACCAAGGACAAAACCCACATGATCACCTCTATTGACAGGGAAAAAGCATCTGACAAAGTTCAACATCTGTTCATGATAAAAATCCTACAGAATACTGGAATAGATGCTCTTTATCTCAATCTGATAAAATCCATCAGCCAACATCACACTAAATGCTCAAAAATTGAAACCTTTCACCCTAAAATCAGGAATAATACAAGGATGAAATTAACCTTGAGTGGAAATTATCCTTGAAACTATCACCACTCTTACTCAGTATAGTTTTGGAAACATTAGCCAGAGCAATTAGACAAGAGCAGAAATAAAAGGAATATGGAAGGAGGAAGGAAGGAAGGGAAGGAGGGAAAGGAAGAAGTTAAATGATCATTATTTGCTGATGACCTGATACTCTACATAGACGACCCCCAAAACTCTATCAGAAGACCTAGAATAACCAAATTGGGTAGTGTGACAGATGCGAAGCCAACATTCAAAAATCAATAGCATTTCTGTACAGTAACAAACTACTGAGAAAGAAGTCAGGGAAACAACACCTTTCCCAAGAGCATCAAGAAAAATGAAATACTTAGGAATCAATCTAACAAAGGAAGTAAAAGATCGAAGAGGTTATCAGACAATGGGAAGACATCCCCTGTTCTTGGATAGGCAGAACCAATATAGTGAAAATGGCCATACTTCCAAAACTGTTGTAGAGATTTATTGCAATCCCAATCAAAATATCAATAGCATATCTCACAAACTAGAGAAAACAATCCTAAAATTCATATGAAACCAGAAGAGACCTAAAATAGCAAAAGTAATTCTGGGCAACAAGTGTAAGGGGCAGGGGACATCATAATCCCAGGGTTGAAGTTATATTACAAAGCTACCGTGATAAAAACATGGTAAAAAAACAGACCTGAGGGTCAGTGGAATGGCATAGAAGATGCAGAAACAACTCCAAACACACTCAGCCACCTTATCTTTGAGGAAGGGGCCAAGCACCTTCACTGGAAGAAAGAAAGCCTCTTTAATAAATGGTGCTGGGGAAAACCGGCTTTCCACATGCTGAAACCTAGACCTATATCTCTCACCATGCACTAAACTAAAATCGAAATGGATCACAGTCTAAACATAAAAACAAAAACACAACCTACTGGAAGACAGAATAGGTAAAACTCTTGAAGACACTGGTGTAGGCAAAGACTTTATGAACAAAACCCTGATCACACAGGAAATACTATAAAAAATCAACAGCTGGGATCATATCAAATTAAAAAGCTTTTGCATAGTGAAAGAAACCACCAATGAAGTGAAGAGACAACCCACAGAATGGGAAAAACATTTTACCAGCTATTCCTCAGACAAAGGACTAATATCTAGAATATATAAAGAATTTTAAAAGAGACCCCTCAAATTTAAAGACCTAGTGCAAAAATGGGAATCTGAAATGAATAGACATTTCTCAGATGATAAAGTACAAATAGCAAATACATATATGACAAAATACTCAGCATCACTGGTCATCCAAGAAATATAAATTAAAACAATACTGAGATTCCATCTCACTCCAGAAAGAACAGTTATTATCAAGAAATCAACCAATAGCAAATGCTGGCGAGGCTGTGGGGAAAAATGAACCCTTCTCCACTGTTGGTGGGAGTGTACACTGGTGCAACTACTGTGAAAATCAGTGTGGAGATTCCTCAAAAAAGTGAAACTAGAAGTTCCATTTAACTCAGCTGTTCCCCTCCTAGGTAGCTTCCTGGAAGTGTTAAAACTATCATATCCCACGAATATATGCATACCTATTTTTATACCAGCACAATTTATAATAGCTAAAACTTGCAAACAATGGATGAATGAGTAAAGTGGTATTCATATTCAGTGGAGTACTACTCTGCCATAAAGGATTAACTTGTCATTTTTAAGTAAATGGATCTACCTTGAGACCATAAAGTTAAGTAAAATAAATCAGACACACAAGTTAAAATATCACAATGTTTTTCTTGTATGAGAAACCCAAAGGGTAAATAAGGAACAAAATGGAGGATAGATATTGGGGAATCTATTTATTTATTTATTTATAGACATAAGGTCTTGCTATGTAGTCCAGGCTAGCCTTGAACTCACTATGTAGTCCAGGGTGGCCTTGAACTCATGGTGATCCTCTTGCGTCAGACTCCCAAGTGCTGGTATTACAGGTATAGATATTGGGAAGTAGGAAGAACATGTTCAAATGGGAAGGGAAATAAAGGAGGGCAGAGGGGAAGAGGAGGAAGGGAAAAGGTATTAAAAAAGAGAATTGAAAGGGAAAATGGAAACAGCTTTTGTAAATTGGGAGGGGAAGAAGGGTTGAAGGGAGGGGAAGGAAATGGGAAAAAAAGAATTGAGACATATTATGTACAGGTATAATTCCCTATGATAAGTGTGATCACTATGTATGGCAAATATGTACTAATAAAATGATTTTAATAATTAAAATCATTACAAAAAGAGAATGGTGTAGACTAAGGACGCCACCCAGTGCACAGGTACATATGCAGTCCATGGTGGACACCACCATAATAAAAATACACAGGACTTGAGGATCCCTCTGGTGAGGGTTCCAAAACACTTTATCCAAAGTCCTAGTTATATCTGAGACCTGCCCACGGACGCGGGTCTGCACCGCACCTCATTTAGACAGCAGGAGTCCCGAGACACATAAGAATTAAGTGATGTGTCCAGCGCTATGGCTTGAATGTCCCATAAAACCCATGCGCTGAAACTACATCTGCAGCACAGCACCAGTGAGCGCTGGCGATTAGGTCGTGAGGGCTCCACTGTCATTAGCTACTACAGCCCTCATCTTAGGAATGGACTCACTATTGTTAGAGCGGGTCAGTTACAAAAATTAGTCACACAGGAGGCCAGCTGCAGATGGTAGGTGGCCCTGGCCTTCACCACCAGCATAACATGGCTACCGTGCTTTCTTAACTGTTTTTTTCCTTTTTGGTGCCAGGGATCGAACTTGGGACCTTGCACTTGCGAGGCAGGCGGCGGAACCACTGAGCTAAATCCCCAGCTCTTAACTTTTTATAGTGATTCACTTCAGCTATTCTTACAGAGAAAATATGCAGGATAATAACTAATGTTGGAGGGAAACTTCCAATTTATTTTATTTTTTTGACTCTTGAGACAGGATCTCGCGATGTAGTCCAGGCTGATTTTGAATTCACTATGGAGCCCAGGCTGGCCTCGAACTCACTGTGATACTCCTGCCTCAGCCTCCCGAATGCTGGGATTACAGGTGTGTGCCACCATGCCCCACTGGAAAACTTCCATTTTAAATGTTATATTTTCTACTCCCTATTCCATTTGAGATGATTCCATCATGTATTTGATGTTAGTTTCTGAGTTACTACAGCAAGTGGACATAATGGGAGGTAGTTTGGCATAGTTTAAGGGCCCGAGTCCCTTGGCAAATCAACTTAGCTTTTCTGGGCCTCTGGCTTTATCTGTAAGATCAAAGAAAGGCATGCAGGGACCCACAGTCCTCTGCAGCTGTGACAGTGCATGGCGCTCTTCACATCTGTGACCTGAGTTCTTCACGAGCAGATCTTGCACATAACAACACGGGGTGGGGGCTGGGAATTCTCAAAAGTGTGCACAGGGTGGAGAGAAGCCTGACTTCTGCAGGAACCCCAGGAAGCTTAGCAACTAATTTCTATTTTCTATTGAGTTACTTTTATGTTTAATATGACTTTTGTTAATTTCCAGAAGTTCCAAAATATGAACACAGCATACTCTGATTCTTAGGAATCACTGCTAAGTCACAGTTTCAATGATCATTTCCCATAATTCCTTGAGTAAACAAAAACCTTTGGGAAAGACTGCACGGTGAGGATTATCTGGAGGGACATGGCTACTTCATTGGTGGAACAATTTTTGGGTGGATATACATAATACCTTCTTGCACAGTTTTACAAGACTGTGTTGCAAAGGTGCAACAGGTAAAAACAGGGCTGAACAGAGGAACGAACAGACAGAGGTTTCTCCAGGGCAGAAGCTCCCTCCCTACCTTGGGCATGCCGTCGTTCTCCCCCAGCAGGTGGTCTATCAGCTGGCTGGTCAGCAGCTCATCTTTGGCCTGGCCAACCTATTCCCAAAGAGAAAAACCCCAGCAAGTTCGACATCTCCAACCGAGCAAGAGGGTGGTAAATGATGTTCTGCTAAAGAAGTAGAATAAAAACTACATAAAGTAAAATACTTTATCTGCAGTAAAGTGCCTGAGATACAATACAGGCTCAGGGTCTTTCTTCATTCATTTGTAGTCTTTCATTGATAAAAAGGTATCCTTAGAAAGCTTTTCTCATTGATATCAAAGTACCGTGTTTTGTTTTGTACACAGAGAATATACTTGGATGTTTCAATAGAAACCTTGTGAATAGCATTGCACCCTGAGCACAAGACCTGGGCCTTACACAGGCTGAGCGTCCCCAGTTTGAATGTAAAACGTTTTTGGCACCAACAAATGCTCAAGGAGTTTTGGGTTTTGGAGCATTCAAATTTTGGATTAAATATGCTCAACCAATAGTCAAAAATATTTCAAAATCATCCCCCCCCCCCAAAAAAAACCCCTCCAAATCAAAAACACTTCTGGTCCCAAGTGCTTCAGGTAAAGGGTACTCAACCTGTATAATATAACCCACTGAGCCCCTCTTCTGTGGCAACTCCCCACGGACTCGCACCAGCGTGAGCTTTGTGTAAAGGAAAAGAAAGGAGTGTAATAGCCATGGGAGTCCAGAAGAGGGCGGCAACGAGAAACTTGAGTGGTGCTGTGGAGAGGCCCCTGGTTTAGATATCTCAAAGAAACCAGCTCCAGCCAGCCGTGATGGTGCAGACCTGTAATCCCAGCACTCCGGGAGGGTGAGGCAGGAGGGTTGCAAGTTTGAGCTCAGCCTGGGTGAGACCTTGTCTCAAAAAATTAAAAAAGGCCTGGGATGTAACTCAGTGAGAAGGCCCTAGGTTCAACTCTCAGTACTGCCAACAAAACAAAACAGAAACAACACATCTCCATATGGTGAGAGTTAAATCACTGAAGAGCTGGGTGATGTTGATGAGGATAATAATGTGCTATATTAGAAGAAGGAAATGTAACAGTGTGAGTTGGCAGGAATAGACTGTATGAGGTGAAGAATTTTGGGGAAACACTAGGTAATTGCTTTCAAAATTAGGGAGTGTCAGAGCTATGTTCCTATTGGAAAGGGACGAGCAAGAACACAGCCAGCAATCAGCCAAGGAGAAAGATCTCTGAACAGTGCTCCTCTCCCTCTGGTGACTTCCAGTTACTCACAGCATCATGTTCTAGCTGCAAATCCTTTAGTGCTGCTAAACTGCTCCATAATTTTTTCCCCAAACTATCTTTCCTGCATCACAGCATCTTAGCTATGCCTGCAGGTGTTCCAGTCTTGCCTCCCTCATTTTACTGATCGGGAAACAGGTCTCAGAAGATGTTACTAAGAGTAGCAAATATGCCCAGCACACAAATTATGGAATCTAAATAACATTTCTCTTCTAAACTTTAAGCCTCCTTAAACCAGTGACTGGTCTGGGGCAAGAAATAGAGTCTGTAAGATCTTGTCCATGAGAGTAAGGGAGCTATCAAAGATGAATGGGATTGTGTCAAAAGGAAGTAACAGTCAATGTAAAGGAACAATTCTGGGGATCAAAAATAGCAGTGACCTCAATGGATTGAGATCCATCACATATACTAAAAGTCTATCAGTTTACAATGATTTAAAAAAGAAAAGTATCCCACTGGTTACTTTTAGAAGATGCTAATAAACCAACTCATTTTGAAAACTAGTAAATAAAGGGGGAAAAATCAAGTATTTATCCAACCTTTTATCTTTGGGTAATTGAGTAGCTGACGGGGTAAAAGTTCTGTATAAAAGAATTATAGGAGTCAATGCAGATGATAGAATATTACTATTTTACAATGTTGAATAAAATAATGTAAAGTGGTGAAGCAACTTTGGGAAACAGTTGGGCAGCTCCTCAACATATTAACATGGGGCCTTGGAATTCTACTTCTAAGTAATATTTCATTTCCTAAGAGAAATGAAACACATGTCCACACAAAACTAACACACACGTTAACAGTATCATCATTACCCATAATAGCCTGAAAAGTGGAAACAACCCAAATGTGCAACTGATAAACAGATAATCAAAATGTGGTATATGCATACTAAGAAATACTATCAAGCCGAATGAAGTCCTGATGCAGGTTACAACATGGAAGATCTTGAAAACATGCTCAATGAAAGAAGCCATACCCAAAAGGCCACGTATTATATGATTCCATTACATAAAATGTCTTCAGGGCCGGGGATTTAGCTCAGTGACACCGTGCCTTCCTTGCAGGCTCAAGCAAGGAAGCTTGATCCCCGGTACCAAAAAAAAAAAATGTCTTCAATAGACAAATCTGGAGAAACATAGTATATCATAATATGTAACAATATAATAAAGATAGTGTAGTATTGGCCCAAGGTCAGATTACTAAAACAATGGAAGTGACTAAAGAATCCCAAACCAGACATAGAGATAGATAAATAGGCAGATAGTCATTTTATCTAGGACAGACACTCCCTGGTAATTTAGTGGGGAAAAGATTGCATTTTGATAAATGGTAGGAGGTCAATTGGATATCCACATGGAAAAAAACCCTCTTGACCCCCTACATCTCATACCATACACAAAAACTAATTCAAGGTGGGCAGAAGCCTAAATGAGAAAGTTAAACAATCACAATGGTAAGACGAATGTCTGCATGACCATAGGATAGGCAAAGGTTTCTTAAACTGGACTAAGAAGCATTAACTATAAAAGATGCATAAGCTAGACTTTATTAAGACATAGAATTTAAGTTCATCAAGATAACACTAGAAAACAAAAGGCAAGCCACACCTTGGGAGATTTTCACAATACATGTTTCTGATGGAAAGACTTGTATCCAGACTATACAACAAAATCCTATAAATCAGTAAGAATGAAATGATACAATTCAAATCTGGAAAAAAGATTTGAACAGCATTTCACAAGGGGATATTCAAGTGGTCAATAAACATATGAAAAGGAGTTTATTGTCATTAGTCATTAGAAAAATGAATGAAGGGCCAGGGATTTAGCTCAGTGGTTCTGCCGCCTGCCTCGCAAGCGCAAGGACCCGAGTTTGATCCCCGGTACCCAAAAAAAAAAAAAAAAGAATGAAAACCATAATGAGAAATCACTACACATCTATCAAAACAGTTAAACTGAGACTGATAGGCACTGGTAAAGATGTTGAGAGACTAAAATGTCTTACATGACTGGTAGAGTATAAACTGGTACAGCCACTTTGAAAAAAATGTTTGGTGCTATCTACTACTCCTAAAAATATGTACACCCTATGACATTATAATTCTGCTCCTGGATATATGGGTACTGTGTTTGCATCCACCAAAAGACATGAACAGCGTTAATGTGGTTTTATTCATATGTCCAAACTAGAGATGATCCAAATGCCCCTTAACAGAGTAGGCGGTAAATAAACTGTGGCTTAGTCATTTAGGTAAACTACTACACGGCAATAAATAAGAATGAACCCCTGGTGTGGCACAAACACATTCCCAGACACAATGCTGACTGAAAGGAAGTGGGCGCAAAGGGTTGCTGTGCATGATTCTAGTGGGACAAAGTTCATGAAGAGGACAGAAGCAGGACTGGGGTTGCTCTTGTTGGGGTGCCGGCTGGGCGGAGACATAAGGGAGCCTTTGGGGGAATTGAAAGTGTTCTACATTGGTGTCTGTGAGGTTCTGAAGATATTGAGTTGTACACTCAGAATCTGTGCACTTCATTGTATAACTTACACCTAAGAAAACCCATATGTTCTTATCTCGTAGACACAGGAAAGGAGGCAATATGGTGACTGTCATTTGCTCCGAATGAACCAAGGAAAGAGGTGGGGATATGAGTAAGACTGTGTGTTGACAGATGTGGAAGGCAGATGATGGTTATGTGAGATTTACTGTTTGGTCTACTTTTGCATATATTTGAACATTTCAAAAATTTTCAAATGCTGGCATTCTTTTTTTTTGGTACTGGGGATTGAACTCAGGACCTTGTGCTTTCGAGGCAGGTAGCAGTACCACTAAGCTAAATCCCTGGCCCTCAAATGCTGGCATTCTTAAAAGTTTCATTAAAGAATTTACTTACAGTTTCAATTGCCATTTCTATTGCCATATTGTCTTCTGAGCTTGGGCATTTCAGGAAGTGCTTCAGTGCCTTAAATGAGAAAGGTACAGCAGTTAAAAATTTCAGACTCCATTCACACTGGAAAAAACAAAGCTTACACAAAGTACTTAGAGTTTGTGCTGGTAGTTTCATCTCAATCAGGGGCTTGCAAGTGCTGGGTCTCAAATACATATTGCAAAGGCTAGGGGCCTAGTTTAAAAAAGTAGCAGGATCCAGTTAATGCTCTGAAGTTCTGATTTTGGAGGAAATTAGAGTGCACGATAGGAATATTCACTTAGTCCTTAACCAGCACTCACTGACAACCTGCCACTATGCATGTGGGATGGGGCTGGATCCTGGGAGTTGCACAGGAAGGGTCTGTATCCTCCTCTTTGTGTTAGTATGATCTCATTGGGGACTGTGTATCACACAATAACAAGAAAAGGAACCAATTATTTTAAGTGATTACTAAGTCCTGAACATCACATCTGCGAAGAAATGAAACAGCTTAAAAGACAAATGGGCAGTGTAGCCAGTTGGTTTTACAGGTGCCGTGAGGAAGCAAAGGTGACAAAGCTGCAGGATGAACAGGTCTGTGGGGGCGGTGGAGGCGGCAGAGTGGGCCAAGATGGGGATCAAGGGTGGTGAGGGCCCGGCTTCGAGTCTAGCGCAGGATGCTCCCGTGGGAACACCGGGGCCAGGACTGGAGGCTTGGGCTGCCCAGCCCAATGAGGGAAATCCTCCTGGGTGCCAGATAAAAGTCTGGACTTTTTCCAAGAGGCCAGAAACAGCAAATTGGCAGCTTGTAGGCTGGATTCACACGCAGATGTTTTCTTTAGAGAGATACTGTGCAAATACCTGGGCCCCCATTTCAAAGCTGGGAGACCTAGACTTCTGTTTCTCTTGGAAAAAAGATCACATGACCTGGCACTGCTAGGTCCTGACTCCTGAATGGCACTATTGTGCCTGAGGTGAGCAGCAGCTGTCCCTGCAGACAAGATACATGTGGTCAGTGGCCCCTACACTGTCAAACAGTCAGCAGGCAGCTTTGCCCACGGCGAAACACATTCTGTCTCTTGTACAGACTGTACCCCCTGCCTCAGGCATGGCAAGTGCTGCACTGGGGAAAAATGATGGATGCAATACAGGCAGAGAAACTAAAAGCAGGAAAAGAAGAAACGACTGCAATAACTGGAGGAAGGTGATCTAGGTGTGAGCTGGGTCAGTGGTAGTTAGAATGAAAGGGACTGGTGGGAGAGATTTTAGGAAGAAAGATAGTTACTGGGTATGGGAGGGAGAGATTTCCAAGTTGATTCTGAGAGGGTGTGGTGGTGGGTGGCTCAGTAGTAGAGCTCATGCTCGACATGCAGAGGCCCTGGGTTCCATCCCCAGTCCAAACTATAACAAAATAAGTTCACTCTGAGATTTCAAATCTGGATGTTTAGAATGATGCTGGCATTAAAAAAATATTTCATCATTCCTCTAGAGTCCAAGGTATGTTTTCTTGGTGAATACTAACTCGTGAATATTGGCCACACAGCAAGAAGAATTTTCCAGCCTGAAAATGTCTTTTTTCTCCTTCAAAGTATAAGGCGATGCTTTGGTAGTCTTCATTGGATGTGTCTTCAGAACCTACAACAGAAGTTCATTGAATGAAAAGTCTGAGCAGAATGTTTTACCTTTTATTGCTAATCTACAAGTACAATCTAAGAAGAGGTGATCTAAAAATAGCAGAATGAAAACTCTTATGGCAAGGACCACTGTTATTAGTGTATGTCTTTATGATGAAACATATTCATGATAATCACCCCAAATATTAACTCTACTCCATCTTCATTTCAGTCTAAACAAGGATCACGAGAGGAAATTATTATGAGGTTTTTTTTAGAATCTAGGTTATAGTTTGTCAATTAGTCTTTGAAACCTTCATCATTCTCTGAGTCTCAGTCTCATTTCCTAAAACAAGAACCCCTACGACTATAGCCTCAGCCATGATCTGCCTAGTTGCAGAAAAATCAGAAGCCAAGTTACCCTACCACAGATGTAATCCATCTCCCCTTCCCACCAAGGCCTGACTGGTTTGAACAACGGCACATGTGTGTTTACCAGTCATATAGGGAAGAGGACATTCAAGTGGCCAACAGATGCCAGTTACATATGTTACTGTTCTACTGCTGTTTTCTTTTGGTTTAGGGCTTTTAAACTTATCAAGCATGGAGAAGGAATGACCCCATGGCTGCTGGAGTTCCAAATCATTGTTTACATTTGAGCTGGAGGCCTGGGAGGATAATAACAGCCCTAAACCTCCAGCCAGACAGATATGGAGTTGAAAAGAGAAAGACATAAAATAAGGTGGAGAAAAGCGTGTGTGTTTTGGGGGTGGGGGAAAATCTGCCTATTTATATCCCTTATAAAGCTATAGTCTTATGGACTTAGAGAAATGTAAGTTCTTTCATACAACAGTGATTTGTAATGTTAGGACAGAAATGTCATCTGTCAAGCTAAACATTAGCAATTGTAAACTTGCTTTTATCTGTACTTTTTTCCTTTAGCTCTTTATTTACTTCAGTTATCTTACTGGCTTCCTAACACATGTTCCTTTGAAGACTGACACAGAAATCTTCCCATGAATCCCATCATCAATTCTTCTGGTCATATTGTGAATTTAAAAAAACAAAGTAACACAAAAGGACAAGTTATTTTATAACTCCACTGTGCTGTGAACAGTCTTATTCATGAAGACAGAAAGTAGAACAGTGATTTCCAAAGGCTACGGGAGAGTGGTGGGAAGCAATTCTTCAGTGGGTACAGAGCTTTAAAGTGGGATGATGACAAAGTTCCGGGGATGGCTGCACCAGCATGAATGGACTTTAATGCAACAGAACTGAACACTCCTTTTCTTTTTTGCAGTGCTAAGGATCAAACTCAGGGCCTCGAGTATGTTAGACAAGTGCTCTATCAGTGACTTATACCTCCAGCCCCAGAAATGCACAGTTTTAAATGGAAATTTTATGTTATATACACAAAATAAAAATCTGAACAACTACAAACATGGGAAGAAAACCTAAAAGCAGGCATTTTCAGAATATAAAATTTTACTTTGGATTATTAAAATCATTAAAAAAATTTTTTAGTTTTTTGTACCAGGGATCGAACTCAGGACCTTGTGCTTGTGAGGCAGGCGCGGTGCCACTGAGCTAAATCCCTGGGCTAAAAAATTTGTTTTAAACTTCATTCTTTTTCTTAGTACATATCTGTCATACATATTGATCACATTCATCACAGGGAACTTGTACCTGTATATCACGTATCTCAATTGTTTTTTTTTCCCTTCCCTTCCTCTCCCTTCAACCCCTCCTCCCCTCCCCATTTACACAAGCTTTGTTTCCAGTTTTTTCCTTCCATTGTCTTTGTTTTCCTTTTTGGATCTTTAAAATCTTTACCAAGTGTAATATATATATATCTCTCACCTCCCATACCAGGAATCAAACTCAAGACCTTGCGCTTGTGAGGCAGGCATGGTGCCACTGAGCTAAATCCCTGGCCCTCTATATATCACTCTTTATCAAAGCAATAATATATTCTTCACTTATAACTCATTTAAAAAATTTAAAAAATATTTATAGCTTCTAAAAATCATCCTGTACTTCTGTCACCTTCATAGTGAAATTTTGTTTACTTCTAATGGCTGATAAATAGCAGAAAGTGCAAAATCTGGCCTGCCTTAGAATTCATCCCCATAGACTTATTTTTTGAAAACAGTATTTTTCTTTATATGGTAATACCACCTTACCTGTAAGTGGTGTTCCTGACATTTGGCTAGTAACACAGATACACATGTTGATGTATAAATGGTACTCATTTACAAGAATGATCTTGTGTGTACACCAATCTGGTAATTTGATCATAAGAGTCAAAGTGTTCTTATGATATAAGTATTTAAGAGAACTTAGGGAAAACAGTGATATTTACCAATGATGTCTGCATAGATTTCCATTTTGTTGTGTTGCTGAGCCAGGGTGAAAGCTTCATTGTTACATTTGGACATGACAAGAAACTGGATGGCGGACCCATAGTCACCAAGCTGTAGGAAAAACCTAAAACAAAATGCTTTAATTAGCTTAACTCTCATGTAAAATAAGTTTGTCATTTACAAAGTAAAATCTTTCTCAATCAGAAAATAAAAAATAATTTATTGCATAAACTGCAGTTTTATGTTTTGTGTGTACACTTGACAAGCATACTCTCAAAAGGTGACCGTAGAGCCTTTGAATTGAAACAAACCTTTAGATACAATTCTAAAAAAAAAAAACCCACAAAGAATAAATATTCCTTTTGAATTTTGGTATTTGATGGGGTGAGGTGGGGCCCGTCTTTCAAAGTTAGTTTTTAGGACTCCAAAGACATTAGTGCTCTACGTCACCTGGCTACCATCTTGGCCCCATCCAGAGACTGGGTCTCTCTGACGATGCTGACGGCCTTTTCTGGGTTGTTGAGATGGTCTAGGTAGAGGCGGATCACACTGTTCCACTGCTTGGCATTCTCATAAGCCACCACAGCTTCCTTGTATCTGGAAGAAATACTCAGTTCCGAAAAAGTTTCTCAACCCTGTTCAACTTAGGGGGAGGAAATGTGCATAAATGTTTGGAGTACTTTTCTATTGTATTGATGGTAGCTGTTTTTGTTTAAATCTCTTTTTTTTCATCAGAAAAAAAAAACCCTCTAAGGACTCTCCCACAAAAATATGTTCTTTTTAGGGGTTTAAGAAACTGGGCTGGGGATTTAGCTCAGAGGTTCTGCTGCCTGCCTCGAAAGTGCAAGGTTCTGAGTCTGATCCCTGGTACCAAAAAAAAAAAAAAAGAGAGAGTCATACAAGCTTGGGAGTTATCTTTGATAACTAGTTATCGAGGCAAAAGTGCCTAGAGCTCATGAAGAAACTAACAGGACAAATGGAATATTGTTTTTTTTTTTCCTGGTACCAGGTATCAAACTCAGGACCTTGCACTTGCAAGGCAGGCGCGTTGCCACTGAGCTAAATCTCTGGCCCCCCAACTGTTTTTTTTAAAATATAAATGCAATATTATATTGCAGTTTTTGCATCTGAATCAAAGCTTCTATACAATTTACATTTTACTGTTTTTTCTTTTCTAGTGGTAAGATTATGATAGCAATATAGGATTATTTTAGAAAATAAAGAATTCTTCACAATTACAGTATATAAAGCTTAACAGTGACATATAAAATCTTTGTGTGTTGACCTCTAGGTGGCGTGCAGTACTTTTTAGTTTGGACTAATTCTAGCTCTTTCAATTTCAACAAGACAGTATATATCTCTATTTCCCAAGGTTACTTTTCTAAAAGTGAGAGTGTACTAACCTTTAAAAGTCTCTTCATAGATATTTATAAAGTTACTTTCCAAAGGGCATAGAAATTGACACTTTTATCAGTCAAGTATAACAAATGCACTTTAACAATATAGTTATGAAACTAAATCTTTCCAAATATGATAGCATGCTTTTATTATAATTTGTGAAGCAGAACTTTTTTCCTGCATATGGAAATACAATTTCAAATTGTTTTTCCTTCTCTAGGACACATTGTCTTCCTGTCTTTAGTCCCCTTTTCTATTAGTTTCTGTACAGTATCGTAGATCTTGTTATATCACTGCTATATTTTAGTTTTGTTTTCTGGCTTAAATAGTGTACTATATCTCCCTAAGTCTGGAATTCATGCTTTTGTGTTTTTCTTTCCTTCTATGCCCTTAGGTTATCCTTCCTTAAAAAACAAACAAACAAAACCAAACAACCATTTAACTCCCATTTCGTACCATGTCATACCAGAACATCAACATTCAGTATTTAACCCTCAAATAAAAAGAAGCAGGGCTGGGGATTTAGCTCAGTGGTTTCGCCGCCTGCTGCGCAAGCACAGGGACCCAAGTTCGATCCCTGGTACCAAAAAAATAAAAAAATAAAAAGAAGCAATAGACTATATTTGAATAAACAAAGGAAAGGCGGAGGTGTGAGGTGTAGGAAGATGTTAAAGTCTGCACTTGAGGCCAGGGAGGGAGCATGCGAAACGTTCTCTTTCTCTGCTTTCCATTTCTTAGAGGGTTGTAAATATCACTGGTTAACTTATCAAACTTTCACTGCTTAACATATTCCCGCTGGCTTGAACCGCTGGCGGTACATGCATGACTGTCCCATTGGGCAGCTTGTACTTCGGATAGGACTGTCCCGTGCATGTACCACCGGTGATTCAGAGCACCCGGCAGCGAGACATGTGAATGACAGCCCCCTCATGAACACGTTAAATTTGTATAAATCTGAGAAACTACAAACCTTCCATCTGCGTCCTTAGCTTTGGCATACTGCAAGTGGATCTTAGCAGAGGAGATGTGAGGCAGAAGCTCGCGAACTTTTGCCCTAAAAGGAAGATTCAAGGAGAATGGTAGTGACAGTCTGTTCCCTCCACAGCAGCTGCCTACAACCAAATGCCAGTTTTTAGGATTCAAAAACCAGTTATCATCAACTTTCAAAAATCTTGGCTTCTACAGGTAAAAGTAGACTCACCTGCCTTTTCTCTTAATATGCCTACTCAGCCTACAGTTTTGTTTGTTTTTCCCTAGTAACTTACCTGATTAGGAATCTCCCCATACCAAACCGCAGAATGTGCTGTTCTTTGGGAAAAGAGTATTAATATGAACTCCTCTGTGTAGTAAAGACAGAGGTGGAAGGTGCAGCAAGGAGGGAGCGTGTAAATCCTGACACATTCATTTCCATGCCTGATGAAGCACACAGTGGCCAGCCCTTACCAGTTCTTACAGCGGATGTACACAGATGCAGCTTTGTCGTAGTAGAGGCCTTTTTCATACAGCTGGGCTGCTTCTGAAAATTGCTAAAATAACACAGGGTTATTAAAATTCTACACTGGTGATGCATAGGACCACACGGATATTCCCACAGAGTGAAGAATACCTTCATATTCTCCAGTATGGCTCCACAGTCTCGCTTCAGGACCCTGCTGGGGTGCTTGAGGGCTTGGTTCACCCCTCTGCGGATGTCGCCCATCCGGATGGACATCCGGGCCACTCCAGCCAGGCTCAGCTCGTCCTGTTCCTGTAGGGAGGAGGCAGCGCCAGCATCAGACCCTAACTCAAGGCCTGCATCTCAGCCAGTTCAAAGCTTAGTGTTGGCTTCCTTTTCCAGGAAGCCTATAATTTTGAAATAATGTTGGTATGGGGGATCGAACTTGGGTTCTTGCGCTTGCAAGACAGGCGGCGGAACCACTGAGCTAAATCCCCGGCCCGTTTTTTTTAAACGGTGGTTTCTCCCCCTTTTGCACAAGTGCAAGGACCCGAGTTTGATCCACGGTACCAAAAAAACAACAAAAAAACACACCAAACAAACCCCAACTATTACAATGTTCTACATTTTTTCTTTGGGAGTCTAGATCTTTCACCCTTAAAACAAAATATTTACTATCCTGTGTGACAATACCTCAAATGGGTCTTGGCACAATATTGTTTATAAGTAGTAATATACTGGCCATCGTAACATAAATATTATGAATAAATTTAGGGAACATCATTTATCAAATTAAAGATTTCTGTGCTAGGCATGGTTGAACGTCAGTAAACTTTGTTTACTTAGAAGTGTTTAATTCATTAAAGATATCAAGCACTTGGGAGGCAGGCAGGCAGGAGGGTCGGGAGTTTGAGAAAGGCCAGACTACACAGTGAGAGCCTAACCCTAAATACAGAAGTAATAGTAATAATAATGGTGACGATAACAAAGACAACGAAAGAACTTTTCTAGTAACCGATCTGTTCTAGTAAAATGCAGTGTTGGATTGTACTTTACCTAAAGTAGCACGTGCAGCAGAACTTCTGGTGGTAACAGGAATGTTGATGTACGGGCCTGTCCGACATGGTAGCTAATAGTCAGTCACAGGCGGCGGCTGGGCATTTGAAGTATGACAAGTGTGAAAGCACTAAACTTTCAGTTTTATTTAATTTTAAATAATTTAAACTGCCACATGTAGCTGGTAGCGGTAGCTACATTTGACAGCAGAGACAGAGAATGAACTAAACAAAAATGTAGTCAAAGAAAGAAAATGTCAAAAACCTGAGACAAATGAGCAAAGAATAGGAACGGATAATTCATTAAAAACTGGCCAGGCTGGGGATTTAGCTCAGTGGTGCCACCGCCTGCCTTGCAAGCGCAAGATCCTGAGTTCGAGCCCCAGTACGAAAACAAAACAACAACAACAACAAAAAAACTGGCCAATAAATAAAAACATGCTTAACTTTACTACTAATAAAAAAACATAAAATATATATATTTTTGCTTACCAAATTAAGTGATTCACTATTACTGATAATACTGTATAAGAAAATAGACACCATCATATACAACTGATAGGTGTGAATTACTGTAATTTGTTTTGGGGAACAATTTAGCTGTATCAGAAATTAAAAACATATTTTATGGCCTAGAAATTCCACTTGTAAGGATATTCCCTTCAGAAACACTATCGCTGGATTTAATGGGTGACATTTCAGGGTGTGATATGGGACCAAATACGAGACTCTCACTTTTCACATTAACATACTGTGGTGGTTTTAAAAATTGCATATGATGAGCTTTCATTCCTCTTGTATTAACTATGCTACACATAAACAGAAGAAAGATTCAACCTTTACATCAAATTAAAAACACCAATTTTATTACAAAATTGAGCTTCTCAAGCTAAAATTCTGGGATGAGAGAATGCAGTAGGTATAGGATTCTTTTTTTTTGGAGGGGGGGGGATCAAATCCAGGGCATCTGCACTGAGCTACATTCCTGGCTCTTTTTATTTTTTGTTTTGAGACAGGTTCTCACTAAATCACTAAGTTGACCAGGCTGGGCTTGAACTTGTGACCCTCCTGCTTCAGCCTCGTGAGTAACGGGTATTATATGAGTGTGTATCACAGTGCCTGGCTTTCTAGGGTCATCTGAAGACTGGTGTTAGAGGTAGGATGGCAGAATTGACTTTTTTGGAACTAATTTTCAAAGTGGTTATTGAAGTTTTTTAATAGAGTAAAAGCCTTCAGAAAAACGTTGGCTTATGACAAATATATATTTGGACTTTTACAAAAAATGAAATAATTCATTTCTATTAATTGAGCAAAGATCAACTTGGTATTATCTGTATACAAAACAGTATTTTGTTTTTCCTCTTGGCCTTTCCAAGTTAATATATTTGAATCTGTTTAATCTTTTAATGGTATATAAGCTTCCCTTGTTCAGATGTACCATTTTCTTACTAAATTACACAGGTCTGTAAGTGGGAAGGGATAAAATTTTTACTTCTAATCTTTTTTTGTTGTTTTTGTTTTGGTACCAGGGATTGAACTTGGGTCCTTGCTCTTGTGAGGCAGGTGGCAGAACCACTGAGCTAAATCCCTGGCCCTTTACTTCTAATCTTAACTAGCAGCTTATATTTAGGATGGAATGGAGAATATATCTTTTCTAGATGGATAACAATATTGTCATCTTTGGTTTTTGAGAGTTTAAAGTATTTTAAAATGATTTAACTAGGGGCTGAGATAGGAGGATCATAAGTTCGAGTCCATCCTGGGCAATTTAGCAGCTTTGCAAGACCCTGTTTCAAATAAAAAATGAAACAGGCTGGGCATGTAGATCAGTGCAAAGGTCCTGGGTTCAGTTCCTAGTGCTGGAAGAAAAAAGCTTAACTATATTCTTGCCATGTTGCTAACAAGGCGAGAAATAGGCTCACCCACTAGATATTACATAAATACAGTGAAAATTAAGACCAGAATTTAAAAAATGAAACTGAAAACAAATCTGGGGATAATTATGCATATTTTATCTTTATTTAAGGTTACCTTATCATCACCTGTTATTCCTTTCTCATAATGGGCCAAAGCATTTGCATAATCTCCCCTGAAAGAAAAATCAGAGTGAATTTTAACTCATATTTAAGTATTTACATACACAAAACTTAAAAGTCATCTTTGTTAGAGAGTTGCTGAAGCTCACAGAAGGTGTTGAGTACAACAAGCATTCTGTCAAAGTGCAACTCACCATTTTGCCACTTTAAAAGTATTAAACTGGAATATGCTGCTCTATAAAGAACCTGCTTGTGATATGGGAGGCATTTTGAGGGAACTACAGTAAACTCTATGGATCATTTTTAATGGATTATTTCTTTTGGAGCACTAAGTGACACTCATGTGACCATAAAAACGAATCCCCCCCACCCCCAAAGGCCCAGTGTTTATAAGAAGATATACTGTTGCTCATGGTGGTGCACACCTGTAATTCCAGTACTTGGGGAAGCTGAGGTAGGAGGATCAAGACTTTGAGGTGAGTCTGGAACATAAGGGGTGATCAAACAATATGGTGAATGTTTATTTAAAAACATTACAGTAAAAGACACATTGTCACTAATCTCCTCAGAATTCTCCCCTTTGGTTCAAACAAGCCTATCTCATCGTTCTTGCCAGTCTGAAGCAGGTCTGTAATTCCTCCTTTGTGGCTGCATTTCCTGAGTGTTTTTAGGAGCCATGATCAAAAATATGGTGAATGCAGCTGCCTAGTGTCATCCAATGAAAAGGTAGGCTCCTAAAAACATTACAGTGTGTTTTCATCCACCCTTTACACCGGATTTGGCACCATGTCACTTCTGGCTCTTCCCAAAGTCAAAATGGCTGTGAAAGGTAAATGTTGGAACTGACTCAGAACATTGAGGCAGCCATCACAGTACAACTAATGACACTCAGAGAACTTCCAGAACTGCTTCAGAAAGTGGCAAGAATGGTGGGATGAGTGTGTTTGAAGTGAGACAGAGTATTCTGAAGAGGATTAATGGCAAATGTGTCTTTCAGTGTAATAAAATTTTTGAAAATTGAAACATTCACTGTAGTTTTTTTTTTGGTACCAGGGATCGAACTTGGGTCCTTGGGCTTGCGCAGCAGGCGGCGAAACCACTGAGCTACATCCCCGGCCCTATTCACTGTAGTTTTTGATCACATCTTATGTATTGTGAGATCTTATCTCATAAAAGCCAAAAAAAAAAAAAAATAGGGAGAAGAATATGTGTTGAGAAAATGTGGGCTGCTATCAGTTTACTCAAGATAGAAACAGAGGAACAAACCAGGATTTATAGTATTGATGGCTGTTTTTATCCTGATCACAAGTATAATACATAACAAAACTGTTAGTTTGGGCTGGGGATTTAGCTCAGTGGTTTCGCCACCTGCTGCGCAAGCACAAGGACCCGAGTTCGATATCCGGTACCAAACAAACAAACTAAAAACTGTTAGTTAGCTTTCCAGTGCTACTTAGAGGAAGAAAGGTTTATTTTGGTTAATGGTTTCAGAAGTTTCAGTCCATGGTTGCTTGGCCCTGTTGTTTTGGGTCTGTGGCAAGGCAGAACATCAAAGTGGGGCAGAGCTGCTCACTTCAGGAGAGCCAGGAAATAGAGGAGGAGCCTGGGTCCCACTATCACAAGACCCTCTTCAAGGGCACACCCCTGGTGACCTCACTTCCTCTCACTAGGCTCTACTTTCTGCAGGTTCCGTCACCTTCCAATAGTGCGATAGGCTGGTGATCAACCTGGCCTTTGGCCATATTTAAGATTTAAACCAGGGCCGGGAATTTAGCTCAGTGGTTCCAGCTCCTGGCTCGCAAGCACAAGGTCCCGAGTTCGATCCCCGGTACCAAAAACAAAACAAAACAAAAACCCCAAAAAGCCCCCAAAAGATTTAAACCATATTAATAATTATTAGCAGTCTGTTTCCATGACCAATATGGACACAGATCTTCGTATCTAGAAGACATTCTCTCAATATATTTTCAGTACTTATGTCAATGATTTAAGATCTTTTTATTGAGACCCACCTTCCTCTGAGAAACCATCTCCTCCACCCTAATTAATCAGCTCTGAAAATGGCATTGTTTGAGATTCGCCTTAGCTCCACATTATCAGCTTATGCAAGTCATCCAGCTTCTCTAAGCCTCACTCAGTTTTGGCAGCCAGTGATATATGAGGAAGGTTTTGGAAGAGAAACTGTCACCATCAGCAGTGTTCCTGGGAGGGAATTTCTAATTTGGGCCCAATTACATCAACCCACCCAGGGATGTCTCCTGACAGTCTCTCCTTCAGGAGCCTGCTCAATTAGGAAGTGCTAAATTGAGATTTTGAAATTCTCATTTTATTATGTTATTTTGCTGTATTATTATTTCATCCTGGAATTCTCATGTGACCTAGCTCATTAGTCTGATCTCACCCTGGAGAACAAATCTCCTCCAGACTTGACCTACTCAAGGTCTTGCATGCATAATGCAACAGACTGTAGAGCGCAAGCCTCAGGCTGCAGGTGTTGGCCTGAAGCAGCTGGGGGCTGCTGGGACACTGGAAGGTGAGAAGATACACTCAGGCCAGTCACTGTCATTGCAAGGGAAGCTCTTCTGATTGTTGGGGCCCAGGGTGTGTTGTATCAGAGTGTAAAGGCCCACACACGGACGGTAATGAAAGCTGGGGGACTTGGTGGGGTACACAGTCAAGTATCAAGTTGAAGGGGTCAAAGCAGCTGCAACTCCCGGAGCTGCAGCCACCAACACCACCAGAGGAAGCTTTCAACTGACCTCAACTCTGTGGACCATACTGAGATGAAGTGAGAGATCATTACAAAAGCTTCAGTGTCCCTGAAAGAAGTAAAAATCAGTCTTCTGAATGGTCCGAGGGCTTCTGGGGGTGTCAGTGCTCCAACAGGACATAGTAGGTCAGTTTTGCCTCTTCAGTACAGAAGTTTTATACCCTGAGATGCAGTCACCCTCAGCATGGAGGTGGAGGGCCAGGCCCTGGGCCATCTGTCTCGGGTTGTGTACTAAGACTCCAATACATCCACTCTGGCACATGGATTTTATATTTCATTCTGGTGCTAGGGATTAAACCCAGGGCCTTGCCCATGAAAATCACATGCTATACACTGAACTACCTGCCAAGCTCCTGGATTTAATTTTTAAGGAGCAGAAATGTGGTAAACCTAAATCAAGATTGATTAAAGAGAAATAACATCTCCACAGTTTTTTATCTGTAGAACAGAAAATTTAAAATCAGGTATGCTGATTGGAAATGAGAGGATTTTTTGATAAAATAATGTCTATATTAAAAAATTTTTTATTTTTTTTGGTACCGGGGATTGAACTCAGGACCTTGCACTTGCGAGGCAGGTGATGGAACCACTGAGATAAATCCCCAGCCCAAATAATGTCTATTGTTAAAATTTGTGATTAGTATTTTCTTTTTGGTACCAGGGATCAAACTTGGGACCTTGTGCTTGCAAGGCAGGTGGCGGTACCACTGAGCTAAATCCCCAGCCCTGTGGTTAGTATTTTCAGTGAATCCAAAGTCTGTAGGAAAAGAAAGTGAATCTACATAAAATGTATTTTAAAAATCAAATGTTAAAATCATATTTTATTTTTCATCAATTTTACCACACTTTAATATTTCTGAAATTGGAATGCATCTTATAAATGTCAAGAGAAACTGTTTAGCTGTGATGTTGCCATTGCACATACACCTATGCACTTACATTTGCAAATAAACTTTTCATTCACAAAAACTTTTCATTTATAGTCTCTGGCTATTTGCATTAGTAGGAGTAACTGAACATTAACTTAAAATTGGATGCTGAATGCCTCTACATTACGTTTTTGTGCAGCACTGAAATAAATATTGTTAATTAACACTATTGACAATAAACATGGCCCAGGAATTAAGAGTACTAGAAAATTCTAAAATATTCAGAATAGACCGTGGAATTTCTAAAGGTAGGAGATACTTGTGAAGCCTATTCATGCACCAGAAAAGATTATTATGCAAACACTGATGTCTTCCTGTGTAAAGCTTCTCTCTTGACTTTTTTTTTTTGGTACTGGGGATCGAACTCAGGTCCTGTGCTTACGCAGCAGGCGGCGAAACCACTGAGCTAAATCCCCAAGCCCTCTCTTGACTTTTAACATTAACTTTTTATCCACATGCAGCTCAATTCAAAAAAGAAAACAATGTTTATAAATAGAGGCAAACTAGATGCAGACTTCTCTGGACTGAACATGTGCCCCCACGCACACACGTTGTCATGGCACTGGGAGATGGGGACTTTAAGAGGTGCTGGGGTCACCAGGGCCATTATCATGGTGGAAGGAACATAGCAACAAGCCCGAATGTAGATGCTGGTGCCTTGATCTTGGCCTTCCCAGCCTCCAGAACAGAACTGGGAGGTAAAATGTTGGCTGTTCTTTTTTTTTTTCCTCAAGTCAGGGTCTTGCTATGTAGTTCAGGCTGGTCTTGAACTCATGGCTCATGGTAATCCTTCTGCCTCAGCCTCCAGACTTCTGAGATTACAGTTGTGTACCACCATGTCCAGTTTTGATTTTGTGTGTATGTGTGTGCTTTGCAGTGTCGAGGACTGAACCCAGGGCCTCTGCACTATGCTAAATCCCCACCCCTTTTCAGTTGTTTTCTTTTTTTCTGGTACCGGGGATCGATCTCAGAACCTTGCGCTTGCCAGGCAAGTGGTGGAACCACTGAGCTAAATCCCTGGCCCCCTTTTCAGTTTTTATTTTGAGATAAGTTTTCACTAAATTGCCCAGGCTGGGCTTGAATTTGCAGCCCTTCTGCCTCAGCCTCCCACAGTGAATGTCTGCTCTTTGTATTACCCAGTCTCAGGTATTCTGTTATAGCAGCACGAATCAATTTCCGTATTCTTCCCTCTGCCTTGAAATTACACCACAAGCCCTCAGAGTGCTAAGAGGTCAGGATCGTGAGTGCAGTGTGTCACTCTGATGGTGTGCATACCTGTTGATGGCTATGGGTGGTACAAATGGTGTTTAGACCCAAAATGGGGACAAGGCCTAGACCCAAACTTACAGTAGAGGCTAAAAATGAAAATGCATGATTATCAAATGCATTATACAAATGCATGATTATCATTAGTTAGATACAAAGGTTCTTCTCCCTAAAAAGAAATGGTTGAATCGAGGGAAGGCCTTCCAATTAATGGCAGTTCAGAACTGAAGGTACGCAGCAATTAGCTACCAATTAAAGGGCAGAAGGTGAGGACTTACATGAATTCAAGCTGAATCGCATACTCTTTTGATATAAATGGTATTTGTTCTGGGGCCAAGCGTTTTGCCAGTTGAAGAGCACTGTCCCAGTGCTGTAAATCCCTCCTCATCTGTTAGGAAGAGAAAGAATTTAACTTCTGAAGAGTGAATGATTCTGCAAAGTCACTGCGTGGCACCACCTTTCATGAAAGTGGTTACAAAAACTTTTTGCTTGAGCAAGGAATGGCGGTGGTGCCAAGGATGACGCATTGCTTCAGCATGCATGCTCAGTGGAGCTGACAGAGCCTACGGGGCGCAGAATCTCGTCGCTGACAGAGGTTTGTGATGCACCCCACACTCAGTCCTCCCTAACAAAATCATTCCTTAATATTTAATTTTTCTCAGTAAGGAAAAATTAAATTTAAATTAACATAATAAGCCAAAATTAATTTTTCATCCTACAGGGGAAATAATAAAAAGTTGAGACACACTTTACTATAGGAGTTGATAGTATTTTCTTAGACAATTTGAAGCTATATTGCAATTGAATAATAGAAAACATAAATAACATTTGAACTGTTTCTCTCCCTGGTTCCAAATATATAAACTTATATTCCAAATATAAACTAACCTCTTAAGAACAAGAATCTTTTAAGATTCATTTCTCACCTTACTTACACATCTGTAGAATTAATGATAACTAACATTTTTTAGGTGCTACTCTTTGCCAGGCACTGAACTAGGGCAGGCTTATTTTCCTTTTCACAACTACCCTTTTGTATTGAACTTTTCTGACCTCTACTGAACTGCCTCTGACCTCTGTATCCAGCTAACATACCCCTCAAAGTGAGGTTAAAGAACCGACAGAATGCAATCAACCCTCTCCGCTCTGAAGCTATTTCCTCAAATGTTTTACAAAGTTAAAAATGGCCAGCCCCCCCCAGGTAAAGGCAGAAGAGCTATGGTGACATCTTGGTCTTTGCTCGCTGTGCTGACATGTCTACTGCAGTGAGCACAAGTCCAAGTCCTCAGAACTTCTCAGGGTGTCCTCAGTTATCTCAAAGCATACTGTACAATTATGTAAATTTTTCTTACAATTAATTAACTTAAAATAAAAAATGAAAATTATTGTAAAGATGAAAATCAGGGCAGGAGGAATAGCTCAGTGGGACAGGCTTGCCTAGTATGTGTGAGGCTCTGGGTTTGATCCCCAGAACTGAAAAAACAACAAAAATGAAAAAGAAAACGAAAATCTGCTGTGGAAATTTTTTGTTTTTTTTAAAACAAGGTCTCACTATGTAGTTCAGGCTGGCCTTGAACTCATTATGTAGCCCAGGCTGGCCTAAAACTCATGGCAATCCTCCTTCCTCAGCCTCTTGAGTGCTAGGATTACAGGTATGTGCCACCACGCCTGGGTGCTATGGAACAATATGAGAAAGAAAGCCATAAAATTAGTTATAAACATATTTTCAAAACAACCCCTTTTACACATTTGTAGAAATTCTTGTTTGGGGTGGAATAACTAATACTAGTTACAACTACTGTTTTTGTCTTTTGTTTTTTTGTTTTTTTTTGTTTTTGGTACTGGGGATCGAACTTGGGACCTTGAGCTTGCAAGGCAGGCGCCGGAACCACTGAGCTAAATCCCCAGCCCTACAACAATTACTGTTTTTGTGTCTACTCATCAGATGCTGTGCTGAAAGATCTAATTCCTATTTTAAAATGTTTGCAGCTATCCTGTGGGCTGGGATTCGGATCCAGATGTGACCCGCTCTTCCAGGCTCCTGATCACTATCAGATGCTGGCATGCCTCCCTTCCTCCCTGCCCCTAAGCTTGTCCTTCACCCTGTCTTAGTTGCTGCCCTGCAACTCTCAACTCTTAATATGCAAGAGAATTTCATACAACAAGGAAAAAGGCAGATGGGCCTTGGTTTTCCCAACTGGAAAACAGAGAAGGCAGCGGTCCTATCTCACAGGACTCCTAGGAGAGCTGAATGAGTTAATATAGGTTGAGTGCTTAGAAAAGCGCCTGGCACATGCGAATACTCTAAATGGTAGCTATTTCCCTTCTACAGTTTTGTAAGTTATATAATCTGTTCTCTTTGGACGCATTTAGACTTTAAATTATTTAGTAATGTTCACAATATGCCTTTTACGCCTTCACTGAATGCAGAATGAAAATATTCTTTTAAGTTAATGAGTGCTCAGCGGTTCTTGAGGCTGAAATGTTCACGTTTTAGGAGGGGAAGGGATGTGGTGTCAGGTGCTGAGAAGTTTCAACTATACATGCGGGGAGATTCTGTCTCTGCATGTGCTTTTTGGGGGGCCAGCATTAGGAGTGGCACCTAGGGCCTCCACACTCAGCTACATCCCCAGCCCTTTTGAGACAGTCTCACTAACTCACCAAGCTCCCCACGTTGGGCTCGAATGTGTGACCCCCCTGCCTCAGCCTCCCAGACTGCTGGGGTTACAGGCATGTGCCACCACCCCCGGTCCCGCAGGTACTTTTCCTCCTTATTTGCCACCATACCTCTAGGGCAGCCACCGGGCAGCTGGACGCGAGGTACAGGTCCTGGGCTAGGTTGAAATCGTTAGTAAACATAGCCAGATTTCCGGCTAAAATATGGTAGTCCTCTATTCCCTGCAGAAAAAAGCAGTTTGGATGAGGAGAAACACACAAACATTTTTTTTTTTTTTTTTAAGACCACTCAGTAGGAAGTGAATGTTCTGTCTATTCGCCTGTTTACGTGTTAGGTAAGATTAACGGAAGAAATTTAAAATATTTGAATAAATAGTATTTAAACCTTAATAGGATAAATCTAAAAAAAAGGTGTATACCTTTATTTTCTCCAAGGACATCACCATGCCAACATTTCTGATTGCCCGGTACACTCGGATGGCAAAGTCCACTTTCATGTGATGGAGACAGGCCCGGCCCAACTCCTGCCAGGTGGTGGGGTTGTTGAGAGTCTTGCAGATGTCCCAGGCATCAGTGAACCTGCCGGGCGGGGGCGGGGGGGGGGCAGTGTCAGCAGAGAACTCTCTTGGCCATTGAGGTGCCTTGCACACTGCATCTAATCTACCGCCATGTGCTGGACACATTTTACAGAGCATTTCTCAACCTGTAATTGTCACTTGCAAGCAATGAAGAGTACACATTTTCTTTCTTTCAGTGTACAGGTACGTGTTTTTTTCTTGAATTTCTTTTATAAGTCTGAATCTACTCTCTGTAAATCACCCCTCTCCAGTTAACAGTCTAATAAAATCAGTACTCTATACCTATACATTTAGATATTTAAAACAAGTCAGCAGCTTATGGGCCACAGGGCAAATCCAGTCTGCTGCCTGCTTCTGTAAATACAGGTTGAGGGGGGACATGGCCACTCAGCATCCTGCACTTGCAAGGTCGCTGGCCACACTGCTGGCTTCAGTCGTTGTGACAGAGACTCAATGGCCCTTAAAGCCAGAAATATTTACCATTTGACCCAGAGCAGAAAAAGTCCAATGACCTCTGGCTTAAAGCGTGAACTTCAATGCCGATTAAGCTTTTCCTCTGCCTCAGTGCACATCATGTCCCCATTTGGCCATCACCCGCCTCTCCACCCATCCACTTGCCCACCCAGCACATGTTTATTGAGCATCCGTGGGCATGTGCTACAGGCCAGGAACCAGGAGACGAGATCAATGCACAGCCACTGTCATCAGGGCAGTTATCCATGGGGCAGGAGGAAGAAGCAGGCAAGGGCTACAGCACAGTGTGACCAAGGTCACTGAGTGCTTACCTGAATCTTTGTGCTGAATGTTTTGCATACATTCTCTTAGATCACCCTAACAACCTTAGCCATTAAGTGTTGTCCTCACTGTTCCGAATACGTCATTATAACTTTATAGATTGTGAAGTGAGGTTTGACGCCATGGGAGACTGGCTCCAGTCCCTTAGTGGTCCAGTGGCAAAGTGCCCTAAGCCACTGAATAGACCGCATCCTGGCCCTGAGGCAGCACATCAGCAACCCTGCCTGGGACTGCAGTGGGTGGGATCAGGGAGGGCCTCCTGGAGTGGGCATGGCTTTGCTGATGGGTGAGCAGTTATGACCTTGGAGGGGGGGAGCGTGCCAGGGAGAACCACGCACATCCACTGCTCAAGCAGTCAGCAGAGGAGAGGAGGTGAGTGCAAACGCCTGTGGCTGGCACTGCACCACCAAGGGCCCAGGATGGCAGCTGAGGTCCCCGAGGGGTTTAAATTTTTTCTTGAAGGCAAAGGAAGTCACAGAAAGATCCTGAGCCATGGGAAAAGAGGATCAGAATCACATTTTCAGAATGAAAAGAACAGAACAGAATAGACTGCCATGAGGCTGGGGACGAGAGAGAGAGTGGCTAGAAGTGGTGACACTTTACATTGTTCCCAGTGAGGATCTGAGTTAAGACGAGGGAGACGAGGAGGACAGGATCTGGGAGGTGTGTGTTCCAGGGCGTGAGTGTGTGTGATGAGAACAGGGTGGAAACAGGGGTCTGTGGAAGATAGCAAGTTTGGTTGAGGAGCTCATGGGTTTCCAAGCACATAGCACTGGTAGGAGAGTAAACAGAGGATCGGGCTGTTTTTTTTTTTTTTTCAGTACTGGGGATTGAACTCAGGACCTTGCGCTTTTGAGGCAGGCGCAGTGCCACTGAGCTAAATCCCCGGCTTGAAGACGGCTTTTCTTTATTTACTTATTTGTTTTTGGAGCCAGACACTCTCGATGGTGGTGAAGTCCTGTGAGTAGAAAAGATTCAGCCGGGAAGAATGATTAGAGAAGGGAGCTCCTGGGACCCCAAGGAAAAGCAACATTTAAGACATGATTAGAAGAATTAGAACCACAGAGGAATTCAGTGGCCCTAAGAGGTAAGAAAAAAAAATCAGGAAAAGCGGATCTCAAGCATGGCAAAATTAAACCTCACTATGATGAAATCAAGATAGTGTCAAAGTAATTAGGTTTATTAGAATTTCACAATAACTGGACTATTTGGGTGCTTAGAAACTTTTTTGTTCTTAAGGGCTTTTCTTGTAATAAAGCTTTTCTCATATTGATGATAACACTTGCCAATAGTACTTCCTATGGAATCTATGTGCATTTTTATATCCGTTATGTTACCTGATGCTCACAGCAGCTCTGAAATAAACAAGGCAAGTACTGTTATCTACAGCGTACGGAATAGGATTCTACCTTGAACACCACAAAAGCAAGGGAGAGGCCCCAAGATGAGGCTTTCAGCCCACCTTTTGAGCGTTAGAGTCTGCGCCAACATTTGCCGCAGTTCCTCGGGCCCCACGTCCTTTGAACTGTGGAGAAAGCTGTGGGTGCTGAGGTAGATGTTATTTGTTTTTCCACTCTGTGTTTGGCAGGTCAGCTCCCCGTTGTATAACAGCAAAGGTTTATGAGCGAAGGGAAGTTTGGTGCTACCAGCCCAAATCACCTTGGATCCTACAGTAGTAAGACAGACATTGAGATGCAGAAACAGCAGAAAGGTTTTAACGTCATTGCAATGGAAATTCATTTATCAACAAATGTATGAGATGTGATCCAATACCTTGTATAGTGTCCTTGTGAAAGACGTAAGTGTACACCTTATCATCATCGTAAGCAACAAACACACCTTTATTCAGTGGCCAGTTTTCCCAGAGAATGCCTTTAATGGTTGGTGAAAAATCTGGAATCTCATAGGTCACGTCATTAACCTATAAAATAGGATTTGCAGGTCTGTCCCAACCACAGCAAGGAGGAGGTTTCTCTTCCTGTTCCTCAACTACATACATTTGGCTTGAAAAGAAAACTAGTCACTAGGCAAGTCAAGGTTAGGATCCAAAATGTAGTGAATTTATATGGAAAACTACAAGTCTCAACTCAATGGCTTCAGGGAAAGAATAAAAAGCTGAAGCTGCTCAAGACAACGAAAATTCAAACTATGATCACATCTGTGCTTAGAAACATTTTAATAATACTGGGTATTCAGAAACAGAAATTCATATGTGATTTGCAATTTAAATAGAATACACTGGGAATGCTTTATTTCTAAAAACTTCTCTACAATGAATTATGAACATAAATTTACTATTATAGTGATATAAGCTATTTAAAAAATCAATTCACGTAATTCATGTGAATTTAAGCAGATAGGATTATATATATCCTAAATGGAGAATTGAAAACTATGTGCATTCTTCCTACTCTGCCTTCCTCTCAAAGAATGAAATATAAAATTCCCACAATTAATAACAACACTAGAGTGGTGGTGTCCAATATGATAGTTATTATTACAAAGTCCACCTGTAGCCATTGAGCACTGAAATGTGCCTAATCTGAATTGAGACATAAATTTAAACTAGTAGATCACAAAAAAGAAATGTAAAGCATCTCTTTAATAATTTTTAAATTTAGCTACATATCAAAATAATATTGGGTTAAGTTAAATATATTAAAGTTAATTTCATTTGTTTCTTTTTGCCCTTTAAAATGTGGCTTATAGAAAATTTTAAATTACATATGTGATTCACACTTATTTTGTTTTTTTTTGGTACCGGGGATCAAACTTGGGTCCTTGTGCTTGCGAGGCAGGCGGCAGAACCACTGAGCTAAATCCCCAGCCCTGATTCACACATTTTTAATTGGACAAAGAGGCTTATAAAGCATTGTTCTAACTACTGTACATGTATGTATGCATATAACCTCATTTAATTCTAAATTTATACTCTATAAGACAAGTACTATTAGTTATTCCCATTTTTCAGATGAAGAAACTAAGGCAAGAGAAATGTGCCCAACTCACACAGTCAGGATTTGCATCCAGGCAGCTTGGCTCTTACTACTGCATTACACTGACTCTCAGTTTCTGAGCACTGGTGACAGAGGTCTCTCTTTTTTTTCTTTTTGGTACTGGGGATTGAACTTGGGACCCTATGCTTTTGAGGCAGGCGGTGGCATCACTGAGCTAAATCCCCAGCCCCAGAGGTCTCTTTTTAAAGGGCAATCATTAGCAGAGCACTTATTATGTGGCAAACGCTATTCTCAAAACTTACCCACATCATCCCATTTAGTTTCACTCAACAACCCCACATGGCAGTACTAGAACTGTCTCCATTTTAGAAAGGTAGGAATTGAGATCCAATCAAAGTGAGGGTTCTTCACAGAAATTACCAAGAAAGAGAGCTGTGAAAGGAAAAGGTAAATGGTGCCACTCCTTTACGGCTGGCCTCACCCCTGCTCTGCCCCTGGCAGTCGCAGCCCAGTCCTGACTCCTGCACACCCTGGCTCTCTCTCCTCCTGCAGGTCCTGGCTGGGTGACAGCTGCTGCCTCTCCTGGACAGGGAGTGCATGGGGTGGGCGGTGAGGCAGCTTTAACCAGCACCTTGCTGTGTGTGTGTCGGGGGGGACCTGAGCAGACTGCTTTCCACATGCAGAGGGAACACGGAACCATCTTCACGCGTGTGTCACCCCTCCTCCCATGTTATCTGAGCAGGGAGACTGGTCCAGAAAGGACTGGGACAATGGGAAGTTGGCAAAAACCGTCCAGGCCCTCCCAGGGATGTCTGCTAATAGTTTTCAAAGAAACAGAAGGGGAGGGAAGGAAAAGGAAAGGAATGGAAAGGGAGGGGAGAGGAGGAGAGGGAAGGAGAGGGATGGGATGAAAATAAGGAAGGACAGACAAAGGGGAGGCGGAGAGAGCAATCAAGTGTTCCTTTCAAAGAAAGGGTCGTTTCAAGGACGGTGTCATAGTGAAGGGAAAGCTGTGTTTATTGAATGGATGCTAAGGAAAAACCAGACTCTGGGGCTGCTGCTAAGGACTGGGTCCAATACAGCTGTAGGCCATGTGAACTGTGACCTACAATGCTAATCCACTGGCTGGATACAAAAATAAATGAAAAATGTAATTATAGTAAAAGATGTAAAAGCCAACATTTCCTTTATCAAAATCCATTTTTTAAAATGGGAAGGGGGTTTAAACATTAGAGAAACTGACTTTTAAAATGGGTCCACTCTTGTTTTTTTGGTATGGGGATCGAACTCAGGACCTTGCGCTTGTGAGACAGGCTTGGGGCCATTGACCTAAATCCCCAGCCCTGGTCCACTCATTTTTAATCATCTAATAAAAATGAGCTTTCCTCATTTCCAGCTCTTAAGGATGGAGGAGAACACCTGTGGTGTGCAGAAAGGACAGGGGCCCTGCCCTTTCCCTGCACATCTGGGAGAAAAGTCCTGTACCAGAAGCCAGGCTGTGACTGGCGTGTTGTAGATTAGCAGTAGTGTACAACAGAACAGCTGTTTTTTCCATTAAAAATCTGGGACACTGTGGCAAATCACAGAATGGAATTTTCTTGACACAAGTAGTCATGAACATTTATTGCAAACATGGTATTGCAAAGATGATGGCAAAGCACTACAATCTCTGGCACTGTTTAAGAGAAAATTTTATGTAGGGTACACATTAAAAACAATTTTTTCTCATATTGCATTTGTAAAAAGCAAGTATTTAAAATTTTTTCTAACTTACTGGACAGTAGACAAATCCATCACTTTTTTCATCAATGAAAACTAATCTGGTCCCATTTGAGTCAGGAAAAATCTTTTTCACACTGGCGGGATGTCGATAATCATTAACAAACTGCCAGTCTTCAATGTAGAAATACTGAATGACACCAGTCTAAAAACAAAACCCAGACATGTAAATATAAGAAGTGGCCAAGAAAATACTGACTTTCAACATTTAAGGTGAACAAATATCTGCATTTTTTAGAGAAACATCATTATGTTTGATGATAGAAGAGTCTAAAAGTAATATTTAGAATACGTGAAAGGTATAGATCCGAGAAAATTGATGAAATGAGAATGTATAAGTGATTTGGTCTACTAAATTCCTATATTTTTAGTGATATGAAATAAAAGATTTATAGATTTCCTACTCTCTAGAAATACCATTATTGTTTTAGAGAAACTTTCAAATAAAAGGTTATTTCAAATCTTTTTTGCTGTTAATAAGTTAGAAGAGAAATTTTTAAAACAAAAATACCACATTGGGCTGGGGATTTAGCTCAGTGGTTTCGCCACCTGCTGTGCAAGCACAAGTCCCGGAGTTCGATCCCTGATACCAAAAAACAAACAAACAACCCACAAAAATACCACCGGATACAATTGTGCTTCTATATATTAGGAATGAACACACCAAAAATAAAATCACAATACAGGTGGTGTGATCTGTAATATAAAGATCTGAAATTATCTGAAATCTGAACTTTTTGAGGGTCAACATGACATTGAGGTTTCAGATGAGGAAGGATATTCGAAAGGACGATTTGATGTCCAGGCAAATATTCCCAAACCCCCCAAACCTATGAAACTTCAAACACTTCTTTCCGGTCCCAAGCCTTTCAGATAAGGGATACTCGACCTGTAAGTTTATAATCACTTGAGAGTGAAATAGCTGAGTAGGAATTTAACAAAACATGCATAGGACTGTTATGCTGAAAGCCATAAAGCACCAGTGGAAAGAAATCAAAGATCTAAATAAACGGAGAGGTAGACTGTGTTCAGAGCTTGGAAGACTCACTGTAGTAAACATGTTCATTCTCCCCAGCTGATACACAGGTTTACCATTATTCCAAAAAAATCACAACAAGATTTCTTGTTGTAGATATGGGCAAGATTATTCTAAAATTTATATAGGAGAGGAAAGGAAGCAGGAGAGCCAAAACAATTTTGAAAATAAAGAATAAAGTGGGGAATCAGTCTACCCAATTTCAAAGCTTTCCCTTGTTACGGAAATGGTAATCAAGAGTGTGTGAGGTAGGCTGAGGAACTGGCACACAGATCAATGGCACAGAACACATGGATATGCTCAACAGCATTTTCTTCCTGTTTCTTAAGGTGACTGCATTTTGCTTTTTTAAGTAATAGCTTTATGGAAATATCATTTACATAGCATGCAATTCACCCTCTTAGTATACAACTCTATGATTTTTAGTGTGTTTACAAAGTTGTCCAACACTTGCTCACAGTTTAAAAACATTTCATCACCTGAAAAAGCACCCTACTGAGAAGTCAGAGGAGATGCTCTTTGTGGGGAATGGTTAAATAAACTGGGGCATCAGCATCCCAGAAAACAGCTCAGGAATAGAGGGTCAGATGTGAGGCACACGTAGCTCTCTTCAGAGAAACATGCTGAGGGAAAATGGGCCAATCCCAAAAGAGGTTGCAAATTATACGACTTCATTTATATAACATTACTGAAATGGCAAAATTACCAAAATGAAGAACAGATTGTTACCAGGGGTTAAAATGGGTGGGGGCAGGAGAAAAGTAGGTGTGGCTAAAAATAGTAACATGAAGGGTTCTGGTGGGGACAGAACTGCTGTGTACTTGAACTGTATCGGTGTCAATTCCCTGGCTGTGACACTGCGCTATGACTGCACATTGAGAGAGACTGGGTGAAGGGTAGACAGGATCTATTTTGTCTTACAACTACATGTGAATCTGCAAGGATCTCAAGATAAAAGTTTAATTAAAAAATTACATAATGACATCTTGGACTTGCATTCAGGTCAAGATGGAATAAGACATTGGATTTACTTTCTCATCCCAAACAACTCCTTCTACTTTTTGTTTTCTTACAGACAAAATGCACGAAACACATGGAGATAAATCTGCAAATGCAAAGGGGACTGAGAGCTGGAGTGAGGGAGAAGGGAGGAGATGGGAAAGGGACACAGAAAGAATGAAGATGTGTTATGCACGGGTACCAGCTCCCCATGATGCAATCATTGTGTACGGCGAACATGTACCGATAAGAATTTTTAAAATGCACAAAACTACCATTTTTGAGACTTTGGAATTAGGTAACAAGGGACAGTAATCTGGGAGATGGGAAACAAGGCAAAATCCTCTGACTGCTCCAGCTCATTACTTTAAGAGAGGCCTCGAGTCTGGCCGGGGCAGCATGGAAGCAGGAGGAGCACAGCTCTGCTGCACAGCGGGGCAGAGGCCCGGACGGGAAGGCTATGCACACGGACCTCACTACTTGTATTGGATACAGTTACAGAAAAAAGGCTAATAGGAAGAGGAGTATGACCAAGATCACAAAGTGAAACTCCGAAATTCCCTGTGGTTTACAGTAAAGAAGGTGATACGTACATCGGTGCCATAGATGAGGAACTCACAGGTCAAGGCGTGACATAAAATGCGGCACTTTTCATCCACTGCCGGGAAGAGTCGGGTCTCACGTTCTTCCTGAGGATCCACAATTTCATTTTCTATCTACAATGTCAAGAACAGTGGCTCACAGATTTGAGCAAATCTGGTGCACAACTGGGGAAAAGTGTCTTTTTCTCGGGGTCAACTGACACTTGAGACTGCAGACTACCTGGCTCCTCAGTGAGGCCTGGGCAGCACACACTACCCTGTGCTTGGCAGTGGGCTCTGTGGTGTCTTGCTGCTAAGCTCTGCGGCTTCCCACATCCAGAGTCACGAGAGATGTGGGAGGTGCCCTGGTTTAGAAGCCCCACCCCAGAGGTGCCAGTCTCTCTTAAACAGTAAACAGGCATAGTTTTGAGGATGCTCACATGTGACATGTCCAAAGACAAGAGCCCAATCAATGCAAGCTGGGCATGGGAGGCTGAGGCAGGAGGATTGCAGTTCGAGCCCAACCTGGGCAGCTTAATGACTTAGCATGACCCTGTCTCAAACTAAAAAAGAGCTGGAGCTGGAGCTCAGTGCAAAGGCCCTGGGTTCAATCCCTAGAGCTGAGGGAGGGGGGGTCAACAACATGCCAGGGAGGACAGAGGTATGGCGATCTCCCCAGGCTTTCATGGTTCATTTCTAGTTCCAGCTAGATGCAATTTACCACCTGGGTCATTGTTACTGTAAGCCACGGTCTACACAGCACTGTTGATATTTATCAAGTTTCCAGGGAATGGAGACAGCTGAACAGCCCACGCAGGAGGGAGTTTTGTTCATTCTGTGCATACCTGGCTTCCTAGTGTGTCTGTACATGCTGCTTCCTGAACAACGTTCTTGGTAATGAGACATCAGGTGGTCCACTATCACTACTTCACTAAGCGGGTTTTCAGGACATCAGAATTATACTTACCAGATGTAACTGGACTTTGCCTTCAAAAAGTGCGGCAGCATAGTTGGAATGAAGACAGATATTGGCTACTGTTCCCAGATACTCCACATCTTTTAACTTTTTCACAGCTGTAGCAATTAAAAAAACCATATTAATATAAAGGTAAAACTACTGCATATATATATATTTGCAAATAAATTTTAAATGTGTGCCTTTACAAGGGTCTTCTCAACTTAAGACCTTATTTTAGCCATTCTTAGAAAAAAAAAAATCTTAAATTGGCCATGGTAGCACATGCTTGTAATCCCAGAACTCAGGAGGCTGAGGCAGGAGGACTGCTGAGAATCTGAGGCCAGCCTGAACTACAAAGCAAGAGCCTGTCTCAACAAACAAACAAACAAAATCTTAGTTGTCAAATAAATGCCTTCAGGAATTTTATAATGGCTCACATGAAACAACAGAAAATAAAATTATGTGCAAAATAAACATTAAGTGACAGGAAGTTAATGGGGTTTTATGTTTAACAGGTTTCTGTCAAGCGTGTTCTATTCCTGAGGCTTCTCTGTTGCAGCATAGGGAAAGGGAAGGAGAAGCTAACGTTTGTTAAGCACCATTTATTCTGCCTCATGAGTCCTTAAAAGTACCCTTGAGCTAGCCAGGGATTTAGCACAGTGGTCTCGCTGCCTGCTGAGCAAGCACAAGGAACCAAGTTTGATCCCCAGTACCAAAAAAAACCAAACAAAAACAAAACAAAAAGAAGTACCCTTGAGCTGAGGTTTTGGCTCTGTGTTAGAGTACTTGCCTGGCATGTGCAAAGATCCTGGGTCCAATCTCCAGCACCACAAAAAAAAAAAGTATCCTCATTTTCTAGGCAAGTAAACCAAGGCTTACAGAGGTAAAGTAAGTGCTCTATAGTCAATCACCTTAAAGAGGCAGAAGGGAAATTGAACCAGGGTCTAATTCTAAAGCTTATACCCTACACACTATACCAGGCCATCTTTATCACACAGGTAAAGAAAAAAATCTTTCAAAATATTATGCAAACATTTTTGCAAACAAAACTAGTGAGAGACTGTCTTAAAAGAAACTTGCAGGGCATCCCAAATTATACAGAAACCACATTCTGGATAAGAATGCACCAGACAGCTCAGACTTGCCATTCTCTCCAAGGACATAGAACCAGGCCCGGTTATTCATTCCTACAGCCAGATGATAAAGACCCACTGCCACAAAGATGGGCTCCACATCAACAGAAATTGTGATCGGTGGCTCCTATAATAAAGAAATGTAATGGTCATAAACCACGGAAGTTAAGACTTCTGGTTTATTAGTAAAATGAAAATGACACTGTTCTCATACTCCTTCCATGAGGTTGGCCACAGTGACTTCCAGGAGGGAGGTGAGGTATGCAATCCTGGTGCAGCAAGAGTCCCCAAGGATGGGCAGCTTGGTCAGGAAGACATGCAGGGAGCCTCTCTCGGTAGACAACGCCAGCAACTGGCCGTCATCTGTCCAGGACAAGGTGCCCAACCCTGAAATAATTGTCAAAAACAAACAATCAAAACAATCCACTATTGCTGGCAAGCAAATAACTACTTTCATTTAAGCTACTAGTAGCTTTAAAATCTTCACTTTTAAAGAAATTTTATTTTTAACTGTACATGTGTGCAATACATAATGGTTACATTCCTCATGGGGAGTTTGGACATGTATATAGCCCATTAATTCTTTCTACTTCCCCTTGCACTCCTGTCCCTCCTTGCTCCCTGCATCTCGTGGTCACATGCTTTCTCCACTAGTTTAATCAGTCTTTAGATTAGGAGACTTAGCATGGGTTGCACAAGAGTATGAGCACTGATTCATCCAACATAGCTCAAAGGGAAAGTGTGTATCACAGATGCAAAGGGAAAGGTGTTTCACACCTGAGATCAAGATAAAGTTCACCATCAATCTCTGGATCAAACATCCGTATTGCATCAATGTAGTTACAACATTTTAGTCAATTAGTAGGACAACATAATTACTACAATAAGGAGACTATGTATTTTGGGGAACTCTGATGAAGAGTATTAATTTTATTTCCATTACAATGAATACAATTTATACAATAACACCTACATTATTCTATAAATGAAACAACAAAATATCAGTCTGCTTTGGAAAAATCAATACCTTTGTTTTCATCATCCAGATTGACTATAGCATACATGTCCCTTAATTCTGACAAGTCATGGATTTTAATGCTGAAAAAGAAAAAAATGTGTATTTTAAATATAGATGAGCTTTATGTAAAATTGTTTTACTTCACAAAACAATTTTAAACTATAGACTAGGTTACTGGCCTCCCAAACAGGACACCCAGGATGATCTTCAGGAAGAAGGTAAGAAAATATTAAAATTTCTATATATTTCATTATATTTCATCTTTTAAATGGGTTTTTTTTGTTTTAGACAAAGTTTTGCTGGGTAGCCCAGGCTGGCCTCAGACTTGTAGCAATCCTCCTGCCTCAGCCTTCCCAGTGGTGGGATTACAGCCGTGTGCCACCATGCCTGGCTCGGTTTTGTTTGTTTTAGTGTGTTTGGGCACAGGAGGATTGTGTCTAGCTTACTTATCTGATCTACAACTTTAGGAAGGAGGTTAATATTGTTCTGATAAAGTCTGAATAGGAAAACATCTTGCCGAGCAGTATTAATTATTGTAAAACGACACAGGTTCCCTTTATAACAAGCTCCCCTCTTCCTCTGCCCAGGGTTCATTCATATAAAAGTTGCAAGGTACATACAATAGAAAGAGCATTAGATTTGGAATCAGAAGGACTGGCTTGAAAGCTCTGAAGAAAAAAGTGGGGCCTAAGAGTAGGTTAACACAGATTAAAGTTACACAGCACAATGTGCAACTAACAGGATAACAAGTTTTTCCTCTTTGACTGTTTTTCCTCTTTCTCTTCCCTCCTAGTGTTTTTCTCTTGCATTTTTTCTTTCATTGTTTTCATTTAACTAAACTTTTTATCTTGAGGGAAGTGTAGGTCCACAAGCAGGTGCAGGAAGTAATACTGAAAGCTTCCATGTTCCCTCATCCCCAGTGGTAACATCTCGAGAGATACAATGTCACAGTCAGAATCTTGACATTGACACAATCCACAGATCTTACTCAGATGTATGCAGGGTGTGTGTGTGCACATGGTGCTTGTGTGCTCAGTTCTGTGAATTTTTCTCACATGTAAGATTCCTGAGGTCCACAACCAGAGAGGACATAGACCCATTTGCACAAAGATCCCTAATGTTGCTCTTTGTAAATACACAGACCTCCTTCCTTTTGATTAGCATTTCAGTGGTCTAACTTTTCCACCCTTTGACTTAGTTATATCATTATATTTCAAGTGAGTTTCTTACAGGCAGCATATCATGGGCTCATTTAAAAATATTCATTTTAACAGTGTTCTTCGAGTGTCATTTACATTTAATGTAGTGATGTGTTTGAATTTAGATCTCCTATTTTTTAATTTGTTTTTGGTTGTTCCTGTTGTCCTTTCTTCCTGTTTTCCCTTCCTTTTCTTTGTTTAGATTACTGGAACATTTTTTAGTATTCCATTTATCTGTTGTTTTTGTATATAACTTTGTAGAGTTTTAGTGGTTGCTTTAGAACATACACATTAAAATTTTCAGTCTCCTTTGAATCAATGTTTCACCACCTCAAGTGGAATATAGAAATCTTATTACATAAAAAACTATCCTCTCCTTAAGTTGTAGTTGTCTTAATTGCTTCTTTATGCATTGAACACCCTATCAGACAATATTGTATCTTTGCTTTTGATAGTTACATATGTGTTAAAGATCTCAAAAGACAATGTCTATTCTATTCATCCAGATATTTGGCATCTCTGTTGTCTTCCTTTTTGGTACGGGAATTGAACCCAAGGCCTGCTTATGCTAGGTAAGAATTCTACTACTGAACTGTCATCTCCAGCCTGTTGCTGTTTTTTCTTTTTTCTTTTGAGACAGGGTCTTGCTATATAGTTCAGGTTGGCCTTAAATTCACTATGTAGTCCAGGCTGGTCTTGAACTTGCAGTGATCCTCCTGTCTCTGCCTCCCAAGTACTGGGATTACAGGCATGTGATACCACACCCGGCATCAACTGGTACTTTCTGATTCTGCAGGGCTCCCTTCTTTGGCTCACCAGAAGCACCAAGACTGTGACTAGCCTGTTCTTCTTTGTACTTCCTACAACTTCACCAGAACCTGTGGCCAAGCAGTGAGGGGACAGAGAGAGTCATAAGCAACATGGCCTTGTCCCACCTCTTGATACCATAGCTCCCGAGAGCTGAGGCTGCTTGGTGGCCGGAGCAGGAGAGAGCAAAGAAAAAAGACAAAGGAAATTGGGAGATTCCTCAGTTGTCTCTAAGTTCTGGGAGTTCTTTATCCTGATGCTTAAGCAAGAAGAAGACCTCCTTCAGAGCAGTGCTCCGGTGGCTGCTTCCAGGTTGTGGGCTAGTGGGCAGGAGAAACTCGAATTCATCGCTGGCTCAACAGTGCTTTGAAGTCTGGACTTCTGCAGTTTGCCTTTGCAGAGTCCTTAAACGGCTGCTGCACACATCTGCCTGGTTTGATAGCTACATTCAGTGGTACAGACAGGACAGAGTGTGCTCTCTCCACGCCACCTGGAACTGCCAATTTTCAGATTGCTTTTCTGGCGTTCTCCATTTATGCCATCGTCCTGAGTGTTAAAGGCAGGGCATGAGTACAAGGGCTTTAGAAATTTCAACTACAAATATGTTCTAAGAGTACCCAGAAGTAAGAATGTCAGATTCCTACACTTGATCTTAGCCAAAAGGCTGAGAAGTGATAAGAACGTCAGATTCCTATTAGCTAAGCCTTGTTGATTCTCTTGAATATTCCCTACATCAACTTGCCTAGAACTATGTGAATATAACTTACCAGTTATCTCCACATGAAGCAGCTTTATTAAGAGTCTGTGATACTGCAATACTGGTTAGATTATCTTTATGGCCACGAGCCTGAAATAGCTCTTGACCAATTTCTTGCTTGTGAGTAGAAATGACCACAAAAATTCCACGTGAAAAACCAATCATGATGTAGCCATCCCCATACCTATTGCAACAAAAGCAACAATGTGGTTAAAGGTGGTGGTGGGGTAACTATCATTGGCAATGTGGTAAATCTGTATTATCTTAAAATTAAGAAATTACAGAATGTAATTTATCAAGGGCCTACTATGTGGCAGATAATATGCTAGGTAGTTTCACATATTAGATTGGGCTATAACTCAGAAAACACAATATATAAAACTGAATGTTACAGACTTAAATATAATTAGTAAAGAAAAACATGTGGCTTTCTGTAATGAGTTTTTTGTACATACCAACTATAGGAGACGATATTGCCGTAACACTGCTGAAATTCCAAATCGTTTGGCTTATCTGGTTCATTCAGATTGAAAAGAAACAATGTTTTTCTGCCAATCACCACACTTATCTGCCAGAGAAGATAAGCATTGTGAAATGAATTTCTCAGTACCTCATGAAAAGACCATAAGCAAATCCAAACAGCTGAACCCAATTTATAAAAACAAGCCAAAGTTAGACATGCTAAATGCTATAATTAGTATGGTAATACAATTAACCCCAGAATGCTTTTACTCCTATATATTGTGGTAAGGATCCTTGGACTTACACATCTTCAATACCCTTCAAAATATATTAAAATACCTTTATGGGGCTGGGGGTGTGCTCGTTGGTAGAGCACTTGCCTAGCACATGGAAGGCCCTGAGTTCAATCCCTAGTACCTAAAAAGAAACAAAACAAAACCCAACAACAACAAAAACCTTTGTGGAATAGCCTTATAAAGGCTCTATGCTTCTCATTAGACTACTGTGCTGTGCTATGTAGGAATGTAATTATGTCACAGTAGTTTCACTGCAGTTGAATTCATAGTCAGAGCATCATCCTCTCTCTAGAAGGCCATTCTGACTTTGAGCCACCTGTGATAACCCATTCCATCACCTACAGGTCAGTGTGGCTGAGCCAGTAGCTCTCTGCTATTTACAGAAGCTGATGTGTAACAGCAATTCTCATTGGAGGGAGTCATTGTGGTGGGGAGAGAAGAGTGCATTCATTAGCTGGGCTCACTAAGAGGGACACTTTGATGTATTTCCTTGCTTCTAAGATGCAACCAACAGTAAGTCACTATCAGTTTAAAATAACTTTTTAGGAAATAATTATTTCATTACATATGTTCATGTCAATTATGAAAACTATCTGGATTTTGGAAAGGTAAAATATGAAAGGGAAAATGTATCTAAGCATTAAAGAAACAAAAACTACAACTCTCAGATATCTATTCTCCACGTCAGTTAAGAGTGAAAATTTAAAAAATCACATAGAATTTAATATTTTTTACGGGGGAGATACTAGGGACTAAACCAAGCAGAGAAAGATCCTGCCTCTTTTGAGACAGGATCTCACTAAGTTGCCCAGTGTGGTGTTGAATTGGTGATCTTGCCTCAGCCGCCCCAGTAACTGGGATTGCAGACATGCGCCACCATGCCTGGTTAATAGTTCTGTTTTTAAAGGTGCACTGTTTCTGCCACAAGAATGAACACAGCAACATTGACTGCGACAGGAAGCTGTCCACACTTGCTGTGATACCAGGGAGTCAGCAGCAGCAAAAACAATTTTTAGGGCTGAGAGACTGCATCTTGCTGAGGCTTAATAAGCAATGAACATAATTTATTCATCCAAATCTGAGCCATCTGAGAAAAGGAAACAGTACATTTTACAAAATTACTAAAATGATTAGGCATGGATTTTCAGAATTCTTACTGTGTTTTCAGCAGCAAAAGTTTGGTCATCGGTCTTCATCATGGAAAACTGCATGTCACTTGGTTCTGCTCTCACTTGTACCTGTGGGGGTAAACATACCATTGCTTGGAACCAGCCCGATATTCACATTCATTCTGGGGAGCTGAGGTGCAGCTCCATGGTAGAGCGTGTGCTCAGCATGAGGTCTCAGGTTCAGTGCCTGGCAACCCTCTCCCCAGTCATATCTGATATTAATGAAACAGGTGACCTGCTTGCATTTCTAATTTTGGACTAAGGGGAAAAAAAGCCTGCTGCCACAAATATCCAAAATTCTAGATGAAACAGAATCCATGTCTTATTAAAGGGAAAGCTAAGCTTGAAAGAAGGGAAGGGAAATGTACTGGGACCATCAGTGGAGACCAAGCTAGAGCCAGTGCTGTCCGTGCAGAACCTCAGCAGCTGCTCTCCAGGGCAGGTGGCCAAGGGAGACAACACTGAAGCCCATCTGTCTTGGCTTGAGCTCAGAATCAGAAAACACAAAGTTCACTTCAGGAATTTGTAATTAAAGATCTTCCTTCCTAATTCTCATTATAGCCCGAGGTTCAAATTTATGCACCGAGTGATATGGGAGCGCCTAAGGTGAGAAATTAATCCAAATAATAGAAGGATCCCGGCTGAAAATATCCTTGCAGCATTTGACACAAGTGAGTCTAGAACTTCTTCCAAGGCTGCAAACTATTTCCACAGATAAACTTTGTTGATTTTGAGGCAGGGTCTTGCTAAATCCCTAAATTGGCCAAGGTGGGCTTGAACTTGTGATCCAGCCTCCCAGAGTGCTAGGATTGTAGGTGGGGGCCACCATACCCAGTCACATGTTTCACTTGAGAAGAATTCTTAAGAATTAGAAAGGGGAAGCAGTTACCTTTATGTATAAATGATAGCTAAATGGTAGTGAATTCCCGGGATGCTATGTGGAAAAAATGTTCTCAGGTCATGTCTTGACTCAGTGATAAAAAAATCCAATTATCTATTGGTGACGTTGATATGACATGTGAAGCACAGGAGCACTGTAGCACTTGCCACGATTTTATTTCTAAAGGGCATCTGAATTATAAGGTTTCTAGAAATTATGTCATACTAAACAGTTTTGTTTTTTTTTTTTTTTTTGGTACCAGGGATCGAACTTGGGTCCTTGTGCTTGTGCAGCAGGCAGCAAAACCACTGAGCTAAATCCCTGGCCCCTAAACAGTTTTTTATAATGCTAGATTAATCTGTCTTAAGAACCACTTTGGTCATTCTGAGTTTTGCTCAACATGCTAGAGAGACCAAGTTCTGCTGAACTCTCATAACTTTCCAGATACAGAATCAACTTTCTTCCACCTTACTATCTCAAAGTTTGCCCCTTCAGCTAGGCTTGGACAAGCTGTAATAAGTTTCCCCTTTGTTCAAGCTATGGAATGACAGAGGCTGCTAGTTGTTTTACACTGTTTGGCAAAACAGGTTTTAGCAGGGCACAGGGCCTCCTAGGTAGACTGAAGTTCCTTTTCCCTGGAAACAGTCAGGTGTGACCATATGCCTGGATCCCAGTCCCATGGGACCCTGCACAGCCTGTGACACAGAGGTACCCAGATGACCTGCCAACCACTTGTGTACCAATTCATGTGAGCAGTCGAAAAGCAATTTCACTTCTCAGTTAAAGGTATGGAGTTTAGGATCAGGCAGGCCTGACTCAGTCTAGTACCTGTCAGCTATTAACATTTAGATTGTAAATATACATATGTAAAACAAGAGTTATTTCACAAATATACTGTTCAGCTATAATCACAGAGCTGATAATCTGTGCTAATGCTACACAAAGGAAAATATATAGTGGAGAATATTTGGGTAATACTTTCATATTGAGGAAAAATGTTCTAATGCTACATGAAAAGAAAGGTTAACATTTAAAGTATGAATATGATTATACGCATATCCCACACACAGACTTTTATAGACCAGTTTGATAGACAAGCTGTTTATTTTAGGGAAACATTTCAATATATCAGACCACAGAGACATGACTGTATTACCTGTCTTATCGTGTCACCTTCCTGATTACTAACTGTAACCATTCTGTCTTCACCACCTAAAGCAAGCAGGTTGTCTGTATTCCAACATCCACATGTAATTCTCTTAGTATGCTTTCCTGAAAAAGAGAGGATTTTTGTACAGACATATGGATTTCAATAAACAAACAAACAAATAACTAACCTGTGATGCTAACCTAAAAGCTTAGGTGATATCCATGGGATTAAACAAAAAAGAAATTAGAATCTCACCAAAGCAGTGTCTATGACTTATTTTAAAAACCCAGTTTATTACTAAGTTCTAAGTCAAGACAATGATATATAAGGTTAATATTTACTTCCAACTTTTTGTGTAGATATAAGCCCAGGACCTAACATAAAAAGATATCCTGTTCCCTGGCTAGTTTTGTTTCCTTAATATATAACCAAACCTCTAATGATAATGTCTTAAATAAATCCAAAAGCAGTGAAGTTATCTTTATCTATATTCAGCTCCATGGGCTGACAAGCCTTCGATATATGTAGAATTAACATTCACAGTTTTAGCTGCTCTAAAGACATAATTTATAATACAGAGATGCAAATATGAATGCACCCTAGTGAGACTGTGTTAAGAAGCGAGTCTCATAGCTAGTGAGTAATATTAGATAACCGCTAATATCAGGAAAATTTTCCTTGAGCATTCCAGTCAGTGCAAAAACTACATTTTTAGAGGCAATCACATGCTTGACACTGTGGGCAGTTGTGAAATTCTGGAATAGATCCATCTTTAAGAGTCTCAAGGTTAATTTTATTAATGAGAAGAGTGGTTAAGCATACAGATTTGGGAGCCTGACTGCCTAGATTTGAATCTTGGCTCTGTTACTTAGAGAGAGCAAAACCCTTTCCTTAGTCATTTCATCCATAAATGGAAGATAATAGTAGGACAAATATCCCTGAAGATCAAATCAATTAAAGCACTTACAAGAGGCCCAGGCACACAGGAAGTGCCATGCAAATGTAAGCCACGTTGGCTGCTGTGGAGAGCAGAGACTATGTTTGCTTTATTCTTGGTGCACCCAACAGCCCCTACATAGCATCTACGCAGAAAGCAGGTACTAATAAGTGGTGATGTGAGTACTCCTGATGCAGGAGTTTGCCTGGAGTATGAAGAGCTCAGGAAGGAGCACAGGGTAGCTGGAGCACAGGAAGCGAGAAGTAGATGAGATCAGAGGCCACAGACACCAGATCTTGGTGGGTTTAGCTTGGTGTGGTAAGGACTGTGGCTTTGCTTTTCAATGAGAGGCCACTGAAGAGCTCTCATCAGAGGGCTTACTTGGCATCCATGAGGGATTGGTTTTAGGTCTCCCTCTGATACCAAAATCCATGGGTGCATAAGTTCCTTATATAAAATGGCATAGAGTCTCTGATACACTTCAAATGATCCTTATATTACTTATAATATCTAACCTAATGTACATAGTTATTCTACTCCATTATTTAGGGAATAAAGAGAAGGAAAAAAAGACTGGGCATATTCAGGATAGCTGCAATTGTTTTCCTGAATACTTCTGATCTGTGGTTGATTGAACCTGAGAATGGAGAATGCGTAAATGCAGAGGGCCAGCTGGATTCTGGAGCAGGCAAGAGTGGAAGCAGCAAGATATGGTGGAAAATACCAGAGGCCCACGCCATGATGGGAGCAGAGAAGGTGATGGGACAGGCTGGAATCTGGAGGTGTTTGGAAGTACAGCCTATGAGATTTTCTGACAAATTAAGAGTAGGAGAGAGAGGAAGAGTCAAGGGTGATGTTAAGGTCTGGCCTTTCACAATTTGAAATGGAATGTTATCAAGGAGGAGAGGGAAACTATGGTTAAGAGGGTTTTGGAAACATTAAATCTGAAGCATTTCCTAGACATGGCATTGAAGATGAGCATGTGTGACATATGTTAGGTTTTATTCTAATTTTTTTTTTTTGGTACTAGGGATCGAACTCTGGTCCTTGCGCTTTTGAGGCAGGTGCTGGAACAACTGAGCTAAATCCCCGGCCCCCATATGTTAGGTTTTAGCATATAGATTGTTCTTCAAATCAGGAGAGAGAGCACAAACATGAAGGGGACACTCAGAGAAGAGACTTGGAAGCAGAACACTTCCTTTTGCTGATTATGGATAAAGGACTTGTGTGGTACATTGGAACCAGGAGGAAAATAACTGTGTGAAGACAGCTGGAAAGATGCCAAAAACATACTTTTTTTTTCTTTCTGGTACTTAAGACTGAACCCAGGGCCTCATGCATGCTAGGCAGAGACTACCAACGAGCTACATCTCCAGCTTGCTCTGTTTTTTTCTTTTCTTTTCTTTTGAGACAGGGTCTTGCTAAGTTGCCCAGACTGTCCTCAAACTTGTGATCCTCCTGCCTCAGCCTTCAGAGTAGCTGGGATTACAGGTGTGCACAACTGCACTGGGCAAACTTTTCTTTACTCAAAACAAGAAGAAAATATTCCTCTTCTTCCTATATAGCCCAAGGTCCTTTTGCTTTCAGTGCTCAGAGCTCAGGTCAGCCTTAATGTCTGTTTTTTTTGTTTTTGGTACCGGGGATCGAACTTGGGACCTTGCGCTTTCGCGACAGGCGCTGGAACCACTGAGCTAAATCCCCGGCCCCTTAATGTCAATAACAACAGTTAACACTGCCTACTTACTGTGCTCCGGCCACTCTACAGGTATCAGTTCCCTTAGTTACTATTAACTTGTAGGTCAGATACACGCAACTGAAATGGGAACTGTGTTACTAGGAGACTAGGCAGCATTTAATTAAGCTGTTGACTCAAATTCATACATATCAGACACAAAGTTAGAACCAGAATTGTCTGTATCTAGTTCAAGGAAACAAATCGGTACAAGATGAAATAATGTAACAGACATTTAGTTATTATAAAGAGCTAAAACATTATGCAGCCAGGAGCTGCTATCAGAAGTGGAAGGACTTGGTTTTAGGAAAGTAAGTTAAGAGGAAGGAAAGCAGAGCCACAAATTGCAACCAACTGTGAGAGAGGCATCTATAAATTCAGCAGCTAACGGACCTAAACTATGCAGTTAATCTAAATATTTTAGGCCCATTTTACGTAGTTTTAAAATAAGAATGTGAGCGTGACATAATATTCATATTAAACACAAAACATAAACATACATATATATGACAAATGCCTGATGCAAAAATAATCATGCTCTGACAATTTTTTTCTTTTTGGGTACTGGGGGTCGAACTCAGGACTTTGCGCTTGTGAGGCAGGTGGTGGCACCACTGAGCTAAATCCCTGGGCCCAACAAATTATTTTTTAATACCTCCAGCGTCAAAATTTCTGGGGCTTATATATTAGCTGGTGGGATACAGCTGCAAATGAAGGGAGAATAAAAAATGCCTACTGAAGTCAAATAGACAATTTACATGGTGAAAGTTGATTATCATTAAAAATTTTTAGCTTAACCTTTCAAATAGATCAATGACTCTGGTGTTTAGTTGCCATATTAAAATTAATATCAACATTAAAGGTATACATATATGTGAAAATATTTGAAATGCTTAATTGTCCTTAACAGAAAGGTAGTATTCTGTAGGTGATGCTACCTCCTGAGTTTCCATCTTTCATAGTATATTACACTTTTTCTGGCCACCTACATCCCATGAAGTCCACTAACTAGTTCTAGCAATATCAGCTGGATGTTACAATGATTGAAACAGATCAATACTGTTTCCTCTAGGGTACTCAGGGGCAAATGCCAAGTGACCAGATGTTGGAGGATTCAAAGAGCTTGGAAAAAGTTCAAAGGAGCAGCAGATGCAAATACCCCCAGCCACACACCCCGAGGCAAACAAAACTCATAGCCCAAACCCTGGAGTCAGCTGGTGTTCCCTCTGGGTATACTCCACCCAAGCAGCCACCAAATGTTTTGGTCCCTCTACTGTGTGGTTCATATTATAACTAAATTAACTAAAATTGATGATCAGAATTAACATACGTGATCAATATGCATTGATGTTCAGATGAACTGCTCCATGTGGAGAGCTACAATCTGCATGAGAAAAGGACAAATGGAAGCCACGCTACTGGTGTCTTAATGCCCAACAGCACCAACTGACCTTAACTCATCTACTCTATTTAGCCTGGGAAATTCTTAGTAAGTAGAGAAGAGGGAGCTTCCTGTAAGCCCTGACCAGGGAGGTCCTTCACACTACAAAATTTCCCTTGCAATCAGGGAGCTCCTAGACAGCAGAACTCACAGTTTGGAAAACCATCTCAAATATTTAGCAGTATTTCCAGCTATAACCTACCAATGACAGGAATCTTTCGAGATGTCTGATGATTATAAATAAGCAAATTTCCTTTAACAGTTCCAACAGCCAGGAAACTTCCAACTTTTGACCAAAGAAGGAAAGACATTCGATCCCTGTAACATTAAAAAATAAATTACAACACAATTCACAACCATGACCTCTAAATAATCCTTTAAAAAAAGTACTCCCTGAATACTTTTAATCTGTACTTAGAAGCTGAAAGTACAAAATTATAACAATGTTTTACGAAAAAGACTGAATGCTAAAGAAACTTTGGAGATACTATAAGATGATCTTAGGTTAATTACATCACAGTAGAAATTTTGTTCATATGGTAATGAACTGCAAAATTTATCAGGGAGTTTTGTCTGCAGAGAATTCAGGGGAGAAACTGTAAAAATAACCAGAGCAGTTCAACTTCAGAATGAAAAAGGAATACAGAGGAACATAAAGTTAAATTACATCAGAAATATAAATATTATTCCAATGAAATTTTCAACTCCTGAAATCTAAATTTTACAAATTTCCAAGCAGATATTATTGGAAGTATTTTTTTCAGGCTTTGTCTCACAGTATCATTCTTAAAATTGGAGAGAATTACACTAGATAAAATAAAAGGGGAATTTTATCGGACTAATATGCATGCATACACATATTGTTTACACCTTACCATGAATACTGTTATGATTTGCAAAGCAGTAGTATAGAATTGGTGGAAACAAAGTATGCAAGCAATGTACATTTTCTGATAATGTAATTTATGCAAGGAAATTGATTTTCAATAGAGGTTAAGAAAATATATCATCAGAAAAAAATCTGGGTTGGAGGCAAAATACAAATATTTAATAAATATAGACTTCAATTCAGTTATGATAGAGCCTCAAATTTCATGGAATAACATGATGCTAATTTGTCTACTAAAGATAGGTTTAACTCTGTGGTAAAAATCTTAATGATGAAACTTCATGCTCTAAAAATAGTAGCATTCAATAATGTGATACTATATTAAACTGGAAAAATAATTGGGAATGTGTGACTTCAAAAACGATATGACTGCCTGCTCTGTCATTATTAATAGTAGCTTGAAAGTAGGTAGAAAACATTTTTTGCTTTTCTTATATGTACTCTAGGACTCACAGTTTGGGCTTTTACATGATTCCCTACAAAAGGAATCAGGGTTCCTCGGAGAGTAGCTCATTCCACATACTGAGGAAAGACATTAACAATGGTCTAGAACAACAGCTCTCAAAATTTAATCTCAGAACCAGCAGCATTAATCAGGACTTGTCAGTAGGGCCGGGTGACAGGTCCCACCCCAGACCTACTTCCTGAGAGACTTGAGTGGCACCTGCTGTCTGCTTTAAGAAGCCACTAGGTGGCTCTGATGCAGCTATACCTTGGGCACCACTGAGCCCCTGCTGCTTCGCAAAGAAAGCACCACTTCCAGGAACAGGACAAGGAGTGAACATAAAAAGGCTCTCTCCAGTAGTCCACTTAGGAGGTTCTGAGCATCAAAAGTTACACATTTCATCCATACAAGCTGAGTTTGTGAAAGGCCATAAATCCTTGATGGTATTTAGAGGAGAAAGATTAAGTCTATGGAAAGTTGTGAGTGAATATCATTAAATGTTTAGTTAAAAATTAATTTCAGGCCGGGGATTTAGCTCAGTGCTGTTGCTGTCTGCCTCTCAGGCACAACGTTCTGAGTTTGATCCCCAGTACCAAAAAAAAAAAAATTAATTTCAGTAAGGAAGTAATAGATGGCTAGGTTCTTCTATTAAGTATGTATTTTAAAAAGATAAATATTCACTTTTCTCCATTTAATTAATTATTATTATTTTTTGTTTGTTTTTGGTACCAGGGATCGAACTCAGGACCTTGTGCTTGCGAGGCAGGCAGTGGAACCACTGAGCTAAATCCCCAGCCCTATTTTTTGGTTTTTTTGGTACCGGGGATTGAGATGGTTTTTGGTTTTTTGAGACAGGGTCTTACTATGTAGCCCAGGCTGGCCTTGAACTCCTGGTGATCTGCCTGCCTCAGTCACCCGAGTTCTGGGATTACAGGTGTGCACCATCACAGCCAGCTACTTTTCTCCATTTAAATAGGTGTAGCAGCCATGATAATGTGTCTCTCCGGTCTCCAACTACACCTGGGACCTAGCACCCCAGCTGCCACAACCTGGGGTCTATCACCCCAGCGCATGGGCTATGCCCTCCCATGCACTGCTCCCAGACAAATAGAATAGGGCAGCATACTCTAAGGCCCATTCCTGGAGATGCAGGAGTCATCTGAAGGGTAACTTTAGCTCACAACTCCCCATAGGTCCAGATGAACTTTCTTACGTGGCTACAATCTATGATGTTTCTAGCAACTGTTCTCCCTGCCCCCTTTTACAAGGGTCAGTGAGGCATGTACTGGGACTGACAGCTCATGGGGTATGTTCTCCTGTAATAAACCTCTTACACAGGTAATCCAGCCTTGGAATCTCAGAAAACGAAAAAAAGAATTGTGAATGAGCTAAACAGTACTAGGGGAAAGAGGATGTGTAAGGCACAAATGAAGTCTGATCAACATGAAGGGTCATATATAAAAACAGGGTAACACTGGTCTATTCAGTAGCTGACCAGCACTAACAGTTGCACAACAACCAGTCAGACAGAGGGTTAAATAGGGAGTTCCAAGATCAAGGGAGTTCCAAGATCAAGGAACCAAATGGCCTCCAAAGAGCTAGGAGAACAGATTCCATCCTTCTTCTCTTAGGAGATAAGACCTTTAGAAGGCCCTCGAAATTACAATAAGATATGAAGTCTACATGAGTTTCTAATAATAAAAGATCATGCCAGCATATGACAATCACATGTATCCATGGTCAGGGAAGACTTAGAATACATCATTCTAGGGAAATGTACAGGCCACAAAAAAATTGCCACCTATGTGAAGGACTTGGGCTTAGAAGAGTCTTACTGATATGACAACTGAAAGTCAATTTGAAAAGAGGCTGAATAGGGTGACGAGTGCTCAAGTCCGAGTTGCCTTGGGAGAGACAACTGTGTCCCCTGTCCAACCAAGAATGAATCAGCTGATGGATCAGATGTTGTATAAAGGTTTTCTCTGGAAAGATCACTGTAAACCAGTCACTTAAATAAATGACTCCTGCTGTAAATCTAGCCAGGATCAGAGTAAATGTGGGTCTAATCCTAAGAAGGTATAAAAACACAACCAGTATAAATAAAGAAATGAATTTAGCCCATTGTATTAATACTGCATTTTTAGGTAAGTGGCACCACAGTAGTTTTATAATTATATTTGAATATGTTTGTGTGCTATTTAAGGTGTTTGAAGGGTTCAAAATAGTAACACTCAGATTAAAGTTATAACTGGAATCCAAAATGTTTGACATGTAAATTGGAAAAAGGAAAAATATTTAAGAAAAACTGACATTCAGTCTTTTTTATTAACTATCTCAGTATAATAGATTCACCTTTAAATAAAGCACAAACAGCAGCAGGTATATTTTTGTATATGCAAAGTCTTTAGACATTAAATATTAATACCAATAGTAAAACACCCTAGACTTTATCTTAATGACAATTACAGTAACATCTGCCATTTCCTCAGGTCTTAATTTCATGCCTGGCCATGACATACATGTAAACACAACGCCGATCTGGTGTGGAGCAGTGAACTCTGGGGAGAGACAGCTGGGTGATGTATCAGTTAGAACCCCTGGAGATGACCTGTGCATTTTTCTCTGCATGAGGATGTGGCTTCCCTGATGCAGAATTTGGTCTAAGGACCAGAACTGATGCTTATAAACATGCCTTGAGTGGATGCACACAGTGTGGAAAACCTTTCTGAAAACTGAAAGGATAGATGAGAAATGAAGGTTCTGAGACCCAGTGAGACTGGATGCTGGGTCTGCAACCCACAGTCAAGACCCACTTTGCAGCTTCAGGAACACCGTGTCAGGGCCATGCCTGCTCCTGCTCTGCATGGCCACCTTGGTTCCTCTGAGGTCACTCATTCTTTAGAAAATAAGAAAATTTATCATTTTATAGTGTGAGACCTCTTCCTGCCCAACAGTGGGCTAAGCCATGAAGCAAATATTATTATTATACTCATTTCAAACAGATGAAGGCTTAGAGAGAAGTTTAGCAATTTTTCCAAAGTCAAAGTGGCAGTTTTTCTTTTCCATGTGGTAAAAAATGTTTTCTATTTTAGCAGAGATCTGGAATTTATTCTATCTGCCCAGATATTTTTCCACTTGGGAGCTGCCCCATCCCTTCCACTACCCCTTCTGATGGGACTGTCAATCCTGCAGCCCCGTCTACTTCATTCAGAGACCTGCTGAGGGGCTGAGGGGGCGCTGGTGGTATAAAAGCCCTTGTTCTTTTCTCTGACATAACTTGCAGTGAAGAATGATGGAAGCTGGCCGCCAATGGTAGGAGGCTTACAATGAATCGGTACAGAGAAAGGAAGAGCCAAGACATCAAGAATCTTGACTGTATCATTAGAACTCCTTGCTCTAGCCATCTCCGCAGTCACTCCCAACTCCAGATTTTCCCACATATATTTCGTTCTAAAGGGCTATTTTTATTTCATAATTATAACAACTTTAATTAACTGGGTGAGATTGAGAGGATTATATATACAACAATAGTAAAAATGAGCTTTTTATTTTATAAGAAAATAAATCATCAATGCATCTTAAAAATGAAAGTAATATGTACTGTTAGCATCAAGCCGATAAATAAGCATATTTCTAATGAATATTTAAAAAATTAAAAAGTTATTCTTACCGCATGCCATTGTCTAGCTGGCTCATTTTATGTGTATTGGCATCCCATAGATAAATGCAAGTAGACTTCTCAGCAATCACTGCTAGGGTATCTCCATCTTTATCCCAATCCATGGCAACACAGTTGCTTTTTAAAAAGAGCAAAATATTATTATTTTTAAAAGGGGAAATAAATTTAAATACTTGCCTATTTGTAACTTTGGTCCATAACAAAACCATTCAATATATTTTGAATAGGGCATAAAAACTCTAAAATGAGAACTTCAACCCCCCATTCACTGCTTATATAATATTAATTTCATTTTTTTGTTTGTTTTTGTTTAGGATAGAAAAATTTAAAATTCATTTTCATGTACTATATTATTTTTTCCCCATTAAGTTTATTGGTACATTTTAGGTATAAAATACAGTTACATTCATCATTGGGATCTTGTACCATTACATGAATATCTTGGTTCTTATTTT